AGCCGCCCATGAGCCTCAATCAATGAGGCTGAAACTGGGCCTCAGCTCTGGCAACAGTGTCCCTCCTCCTCCTGACATCCGAGACAAAAGTGCAGGTGGCAGACAGACACTTGTGCAGGCCAAACGCAAGAGGGCAGGGCCAGGAGAGACAGAGAAACGAGTTTAGGAGAGAGTAGGTCTCAGTTCCTTGTAAGGTATTCGTGACCAGACTGTCCTGTAGGAGTGGCAGGCATATTCCCACAGCGTGCCTGTGGAATGCGGACCCTGTCTTCAGGATAGCAGGTGCCTACCGCAATCTCTGTTCCCCTCCCGGCTTATCCTACCATGGAGTCTTCTTGCACTGAACACCCTCCCTGGATTTAACTCCTGGACAGGTGCCTGCGTGGGTGCAGCAGAGACTTTGGCTGACATCAAGCAAGCGAGTTGGGAAAGGCCAAGGGGAGGGCAAGCTCAGTTGCTGTAAGATTCCTAAATGGACTGTCTACCTTCCTAACATTTTCACCAGTTTTACCAGGACTAGCCATTTTTAAAGATGCCCATGTATGGGTAATGTATGGGTGAGCATCTGGCACAGTGGTTAATCCACCACTTGGGATGCCCACATCCCATATTGGACTGTCTTGAGTTCCAGAGGGGTGTGTGTGTGTGTTACAGTGTGCCTACAAAGTGTGGAGTTACCTTCAGGCCAGCAGGGCACCTGATGCAGTCGGCCCTGTCCTGTACCTGACTTATCCTAACATGGAGTATCGGGCAGGTGCCCTAGGTAGCATGCAACTGCTCTTCCCAGGCCTGCACGGGTGCAGTGAGGAGCTGGTGGCTGCCACTGGACCAGAGAAGGCAGGAGAAGGGGTAGAAGTGGGCTAGACACAGAGCAGCCCTCAGGCCAACAGAAGGGTACTCAGGACTCACCCTACTCTTCCCTCCTGGCTGGACCACCAAAAAGGTGTTACTGTGGGCGACTGGAATGGATTTTTGTAGACTGAGATGGTGGTGCTAAGTAAGCTATCAAAGGTTAGTGAGATAGTGTATCTGACAGGCCGGATGGGCAACTTGGCAAACACAAGGGTTTCTGCAGGTGTGGGGTCTACTTTCCACCACTTCTTTTCCCTCCCTTTTTCCGGGATATTGCTGGGCCAAGGGCTTACAAGCCTTCGGGTTTGTGAAATTCTCCCCAAGGTTTTATGGCTCAGCGTTATCAATAGCTTTGTCACCAGGTCAGGAAGACGCCTGAGGTATCTCTGGGGGATGACAGGAGGTTGGGCGCCCTACAGGGTTATCAGATGGGCAGGACTTTCGGGTAAATGTCGGTCTGCTTTGTTCCTCCCGTTATTTCTTGTACAGTTTTTTCTTTCACACACATAGGGCAATGTCTGCCTTCCTAACATTTTCACCAGTTTTACCAGGACTAACCATTTTTAAAGATGCCCATGTGGGCACTTGGGATGCCCACATGCCATACTGGACCCTGTTGAGTTCCAGTCTTGCCTCAGCTTCTGAACCAAGTTCCTGCCAATGTGCATGCTGGGAGGCAGTAGGGGATGATTCAAGTGGTGGGAAGTTCTTGGCTACTGGCCTCAGCCTAGTCCAGCTCAGGCTGTAGCAGGTGGTTGGGGAATGAACCAGTGAATGACAGATCTGTCTGCCTTTCAAATGAAAGTGTGTGTTTAAAGATTTATTTACTTGCATGGCTGAGTGAGACAGATCATCTATCTACTCGTCCACTCCTGAATGGCTGCAATGGGGCCTGGGCCAGTGTAAGCTGAGGTCAGGAGCCCGTAACGCCATCCAGTTGCCCATGTGGGTACGGGGCACCAGCAATTGAGCACATTAGCAGGGAGCTCACCCGGAAGCAGAGCAGCTGTGACTCAAACACTCCAATATGGGAGCTTCACCTGCTGCACCAAGATAATTTCTTTCTAGATGAACCATGCAGAGGAGGGGGCATTACCTATCTCCTGGGCCACCACACAGAGGCTCTGCCCTACTTCCTGGTCACGCTGGGCAAGCACCACACCGAGAGCTTCAGCCGGAGCAGTGTGCCTGCTCGGCCACATCTCGGACTCTTCCTAACCCATCAGTGTGGCCGTGGCCTTCTGTAGAAGCTGTAGGCAGCATCTTGTGCAGGTTTGGGGACTGAACAGCAGAACGGTTGTTCCCCAGAGAGCCTCGGTACAGCAGACGTCGTGGGGAGACTCACGGGGAGAAGGGAGCAGATGCCAAGCTTACATCTCGATCTAGATTCGGGTCACCCATTCCTTATTTGCATAACATTTGTTTCACAAACACAACTTTAATAAGTTACAGAATAAAAATTAGCTCAGATGAAACTAAGAAAAACTAAATGCATCTAACAAAGGGGAACAGTTTAGGGTTCCAAACTGTAGTGTTTTGCATTCTAATGTATGAGACTTCCAACTAGGATACATCCTCGTCATTACTGATTTTTTAAAATTGTCATTTCTTGGTGAGTATTTGGCCTAGCAGTTGATACAATTAGGATGCTCACATCCACACTGGCATCTGTGGGTTTGATTCCTGGCACTGGCTCCCCATTCCAACTTCCTGCTAATGCGGACCTTAGGTGGCAGTGGCTGATGGCTCAAGGGATTTAACTCCTGCCACCCGTGAGGGAAACCTACACTGAATTCCCCACACCAGTCGTCAGCAACTGAGGCTCTTTAGGAATGAACCAGCAGATGGGAGCCCTCTCTGCTTCTTAAACAACTGGTCCTAATAGGCATGTATAGTATCACTGTAGTTTAAACTTGCATGTCACAAATGTCACTTGATATTTGTGCTATCTTGTTTGATGAAATACCTATTCAACTATTTTCCTCTTTAGTTTTTCTTACTGTTGAGTTTTGAGAGTTCTTCATATAATACAGCCACATATCCTTTGTAAAATAGGTGTTTTGAAAATATTTACAAAACAAACACTAGCTGGAAATTTCTCTAAACTTTCAGATTGCTTTTGAGAACTTAAATCTTAGCAAAATTTCTAAAGACTTATTTGAAAGGCAGAGTGACAGGAAGGAGATGGAGTGCTTTCAACCACTGAGTCACTCTCCAAATGGCCTCAAGAGCCAGGTCCAGGTCAGGCTGTGGACCGCCCTTTGGGTTTCCCACTTGGGCCATTATCCACAGCCTTCCCAGGTACAGTAAAAGGAAGCTGGATCGTGAGGAAAGCGGACAGCACTCGTATGGGGTGCCAGCATTCAACCTGCAGCACGATGCTCGCCCAATCTCGGCAAAACAATCTTCTGGTAAACAAATCATAGGAAACCACTGTTTTGGACCACCCTCCTCTACTAGGCCTCAATAAGCCAGAATACACATCAAAGTGTATTGTAAAAACACGGTAATGTTTTACATCACCAAGCTGAAACTAATGTTGACAAAATTAAACAAGCTTTGTTTTTAAAAAAAGCTAACATCAAACTGTTATGGCACAGCAGGTTAGGTCTCCTCTAGTGAGTGCATCATGCCATCCTAGAGAACCAACTCCAGTCCTGGGCACTCTACTTCCAATCCAGTTTCCTGCTAATGCACTTGGGAAGGCAGTGTTTGGGCCACTACCAGCCTTGTGGGAGAACACATGGAGCTCCTGGCTGCTGGCTTTGGTATCACGCAGACCTGGCTGTTGAGGCCATTGGAGAATGAATCAGTGGATGTCTTTCAAATAAATCTTTAAGGGAAAAAATAAAATAGTATCGGGTCCATTTAGGGTAGAATGAGTGGCCTAGGCATAGGAGACACAAGGCCAACAGCTGCTCACATGGGGCTACTGAACATCTGAAACGTGGCGTGTGAGTATACTTAAAATTCTGCTTTCTCCCCTCAAGATTGACACTGCCCATCTGCTCATTCCTCAAATGTTCATGATGGCTGGGGCCAAAGCTGGGAGCTGGCACCATAACCAGACCTCTCATTTGAGTGGCAGGAACACAATCACTTGAGCCATCTTCCAAGGTCTACATCGGCAGAAGATGCGAGTCTGGAGCCAGAACCAGGAATTGAACTTGGGTACTCTGATGTGCAATGCTGGTATTTTAATTAATAGGTTAAATGCCACTACTTCGAATGCTTTTACAGTTGTAATAAAAATTATCAGGGAATCTTTGATCTCTTAGAGATAAAGCATCATGGGTATTAAAACTGCTAATGGAGCCTAAGTACCAAGACCAGTCTTTTCTCCATCCTTCATAATATGGGCCTTGAACAACACATCGTATCCCCCTGAGCGCGTTACTCATGTCCATTTCGCCCACTGTGGATACTTAGATCCTCTTAGGTCAGCTGGTGGAAATATACCACTTGATGATCCAGTCCACTCAGTGCTGTCCACCCCAGACAAGACTGCTCCTGCACTCCGCAGCACTGTCCCCTCAGCCCCCAGAACAGGACCAGGTACAGAGCAAACATCTGTCATCTATTCATTGACTGGATGAATGTAAGGCTACTGTTTCATAGGTCCTTCTATATAATATAAAGTTGTCGGAAGACGCCCTGAAGTTCAGCTAGTCCTTTACATTGGGGTGGGGAAGTTGAGGTGACAGACATGCCCCACATCCATGAGTATTAATCCTCTCCACCAACTACTTGTTACTTGGCTTTTCATGCACAATACTTATTTCCTCTCTGTAAATAAGCTCAGGGCCGGCGCCGCGGCTCACTAGGCTAATCCTCCGCCTTGCGGCGCCGGTACACCGGGCTCTAGTCCCAGTCAGGGCGCCGGATTCTGTCCCGGTTGCCCCTCTTCCAGGCCAGCTCTCTGCTGTGGCCAGGCAGTGCAGTGGAGGGATGGCCCAAGTGCTTGGGCCCTGCAGCCCATGGGAGACCAGGATAAGTACCTGGCTCCTGCCATTGGATCAGCACGGTGCACTGGCCGCAGTGGCCATTGGGGGGTGAACCAACAGCAAAAAGGAAGACCTTTCTCTCTGTATCTCTCTCTCACTGTCCACTCTGCCTGTCCAAAAATAAATAAAATAAAAAATATAAGCTCAGGCTTCCTTCACGCATTTAATTGACACAAATGTGATGACAATGTATAGGACTGGGCAATCAACGTCAGTATGCCTGCGATGAAGCGTATATTTAAACAGGCGCCTACATCAGACTCCCCCAGTCTCTGCGTTATAGTTTCTCTATATACTTTACAGCCATACAACGAACAACATTTTTGCTCTTTTCTGATTAGAATGCACCTGAGCCTCTTCCTAAGGGTTTGCTGTAACATAAAATAAGATGAAATTGATCACCGAAGGCACCACCACACTCACTGTATTCATCAGGTTTCCTCCCTGTGCAAATCCACTGCTACCTCCCGAGGGTACACACCTGCCCCCAGGCTGCCACACAACAACTCCATTCCTATTTGCTGGAAGGCCACTGACATTTATTGATGTATGAGGGGCTACAGAAGGCACCTGTGGCATCACTGGGTGACCAGGGCTTTTTCCCTGCACAACATCTCGAGTAGGCTGTGGGCTGGGCCTCTCTGCAGGATTTTCCCCCTTCCCTGCATGTCCCTGGGTACCCCCTGTGTGTACTCTCTTATGCTGAACAAGGAAAGACATGTACGCGAAGGCTTTCCCACATTGATTACAACCATAGAGTCTCTGTCCCGAGTGAGTTTTTTGATGGACAATGAGTTTTTGCCTTGAAATAAAGGCTTTCCCACACTGAGCACATTCAAAGGGCTTCTCTCTGGTGTGAATTCTTTGGTGTCTAATGAGGCTTGACTTCTGAGAACAGGATCTGCCACATTCGCTGCACACAAAAGGCGCCTTTCCCGTGTGGAACCTCTGATGTGCGATCAGGCACGTCTTCTGGATGAAGCCTTTGCCACAGTCGCTACACGTGTATGGCTTCTCGCCCGTGTGGATTCGCTGATGGACGGTGAGATTTCCTTTCTGGATGAAGCCTTTCCCACACTCGCTGCACATGTAGGTCTTCTCCCCTGTATGCGTTTTCTGGTGTAGGCTGAGCCGGGACTTCTTGAGAAAGGCTTTGCCACACTCAGTGCATTCATACGGTCTCTCTCCCGTGTGGATTCTCTGATGCTCCGTGAGCATGTACTTCCTGGAGAAGGCTTTCCCACAGAGCCCACACCCGTGCGGCTTCTCTCCCGTGTGAGTGACCTGATGCCCCGCGAGCCCAGACTTCTTAGTGAAGGCTTTGCCGCAGTCGCTGCAGATGTGCGGTTTCTTTGTGTGTGCTGAGCCATGCTTAGAACTGACGAGCTGGGACTTCGTGCTGACGCTTTTTGGGCTTGCAGCGGATGCCGGTTCTGTGTGGAACTGCCTCTGACCAGCAGGCAGGAAGGCGTCCCCATTTCCAGGAACCTCGGCAGGGTTCTCTCTCTCATTGCTTCTGCTCTGGCCAGCACATCCTGAATCTGATTTCAATGTCTTTCCATGTAAGTCGAATGTATCAGGATTTTTCCTTAACAAAAGCGGAGTTCTGCTCCAGTGAACATCTTTAAATGCACTCTGCTTGTGCTGTTCCATTCTGTTCATGACGCTTCCATTCTGTAAATGCTCCAGCACACCGTCAGCTTTCCAGATTTCTACAAAAAAAGTTTTCCATTATATTGATTTGGAATAAAGGTACTCACGTTGGAAAAACTACAAATCACAAGGTCAACGCAGTAATGAGGTGAGATAAGTAATAACTAGACTTGGCTGTTTTTTAAAAGGCCTTATTCTAGAACATGTAGAGGCTAAAATACAATGTCCTATGAATGACAGACCAGAGACGGCCACCTCCTCCAAAGGGAAAGATTCATTCCTTCTACAAATGACTACTGTGTACCACGCACAGTACTCGTGTTGAGCACACACAAGTGTAATCCTCAAGTTCATGGAGCTTCACACTTTCAAACAAAGTGGTTTTCAGGAGGATGGAGATGGAGAGGAATGGAGGAAACTGTTAGTTCTGGAAGACCTGGCTTTTAAAGTTGCTGCTCTCTACTTTGGAATACTCCTAACCCAGCAGCCTACTGACTTCATCTTGGGGCTCAAAGGTATCCCATCAGCGTTGTTCCCTCTTCTGAGAGCAGCCTCGGTGTGGCAACACTGTTCCATGCTGAATGGGTGACTTCATTTATCTATAAGGCAGAGTGACAGAGCTTCATCTCCCACCACAGCCAAGCCTGGGCAGGAACTCCACCTGTGTCTCTTGCATGGCACATTAGCAGGAAGCTGGATCATAAATGGAGTAGCCAGAACTCGAACTGGGATACCAATGTCCCAAGTGGCTGCTTAACCCACTGCTCCACAACCCCAGCCCCGGATGGTGTCGTATTTTGTCTCCTCTCCTATAATGAAAGCTCCTAGTCTATTAGTCTTTGCTCACTGCTGTTAGTTTTCCCCACAGGCCAGTATATGCTGAGGACTCTTTGAAAGAAGGAGTAAAGGTAGCGATCACATGTATGGGACACTGGGATAACATCCTGGAAAGAGGTCAGTCTGGGAGTCCCTCCAATAAACAGAAGGCGCTTCAAGGAAGTGTCCAAGTGAAAACGAATGAGAACGTGGAAGAGAACTTCTGGACAACTCCAGAGTGCAGGTAATGGGAAGGTAAGGGTAAGGCACTGTGGAAGAGCCGGTCGCCTCGGGGACGCAGCATCCAGGATGGAGGGTGCTAGGAAGGGACTAGCAGAACCCATGGGGCCAGGAAGGTGGAATTCCATAGCAAGAGAGCAGGGAGGGGATGATGAAGGGGGAGATTCGGGAATCCTAGGAAGAGGAAAATTATGCAAACAGAAAACCCAGATGGAGATAGAGGAATCGGCTCCCAGAAAGGATCAATGGCCCCTCCCCGGCAGGCAGATGGCTGCAGGGGCTCCTTACCCCCCTCAAGAATGGCGAGTGTGACTTCTGAGGCCTGCTCCTGGCCTGGGCTCACTCACCTGGCGGGGTTCCACAGTGGTTTTCACCTTCTATGGTCCACGGTTCTCCTCGTTCCAACTGGGAGAGTAGATCTGGTTTGCTGGCTCGCCATCCTGTTCACAGAAAATGACAGAAGACACAGACATACTGAACTGGGCTCCGCATTACCTCTGCGGACAGTGTTCACGTTTCTAAAGGAGAGGGGAGAATGTCCCCCTTTGTGTGCCTGGGGAGGGAGGAGTCTATCGAGGCCCTGTGAGCTTTCAGATACGGAGCCTGGGCACCCGCTGGGCGGCACGGGGCAGCTGTCCTCACCCACGGACACCAGGCTGCGGTAGTTCTCCAGCATCACGTCCCGGTACAGGGCCTTCTGGGCAGGGTTCAGGAGCTGCCACTCCTCCCAGGTGAACCTCACAGCCACGTCGTCAAACATGAGTACTTCCTGTAACAATAATTCTGCTTAGTTAAGTGTTTTCCTTTTGAGACAGAGAAAACGCTAAATTTTTCTGCTCATACCCACTCCATAGGTTGTATCTATATACCTAGTTTAATAAAATCCCAATAGAACATACTGTAACTATAATTACACATTGAATCATTTATCCAATGTGTAGAAGTTATGTCTTTCACCATTCACATATTTGTGTGTATATGTCTATAGTGTATGTGTATATATAGATATATATATAATATGGGCCTTCCATACTTCTGACTGACCAGCTATACATTGCTATGGACCCCTCAAGTCTGAAAAGTACCAGAAGAATTCACAGAACTTGAAAGTGGTTTAGGGGGCTGTCGCTCCCCCTCTTCGTGGAGGAACGACACTGAACCCTGCGCTGTTCTTTTCGTCTGCTCGGCCCTCCCCGGGTTTGCTGCTGGTTCTTCCCGGGTTGGCTACTATCCCTTCCACCTCCATGGAAGGGCAGTTCCCCCTGGCCGCATTCCCCACTTCCGCAGGGGAGCGGCACACCGCCGGCCGGTTCTCTCGGGGGCTGCACGGGTTCCCTTAGATGTTCCCCATAGATGTTCCTGGTGCATGCCGTCTCTCTCCTCCTTTATAGTCCTCCTCCGCCAATCCCAACTCGGCTGCCCACACGCCGAGTACGCTGCTCTCCAATCAGGAGCAAGTCCTACAGTTAATTGGTTGAACTGGAGGCAGCTGTGCGGAAGCTGTTTACTTCTCTCCCAGCGCCATATTGTGGGAGAGCAGATGCATAGAATAAGTCCTAATTCGAGTAACTTAGTCTAGTCCGGATTGCTCCCCACAGGGGGCCAGTGCTGTGACGTGGTGGGTAAGGCCGCCGCCTGCAGTGCCAGCATCCCATAGGGGCACTGGTTCGAGACCTGGCTTCTCCACTTCCAATCCAGCTCTCTGCTATGGCCTGGGAAAACAATGGAGGATGGCCCAAGTTCTTGGGACCCTGCACCCACGTGCGAGACCTGGAAGAAGCTCCTGACTTCAGATTGGCGCAGCTCTGGCCATTTGGGGGAGTGAACCAGTGGATGGAAGACCTCCTTCTCATAAGTAAATTTTTAAGGTGGTTTAGTTACTATTCCCAGTTCACAGTCAAACACACAACTCTTACTAGAAATAGCCTAGTGGGGATGGGCAGGACAAGGTTCGGGGAGAGCAGCCTCTCCTTAGCTTTCCAAAAGTCAGCTCATTTAAATAAAACCAGGTTATAAATAACAAGACATGCCCGTTCCCCTTCCTCCTCCAAAGCTGCTTCAGGAACCAGGGATAAAGACCAAACTACTTATTTCTTATACCATGATATCATAGTATGCTAAACACAGTGAACATGTATCCGAGAAAGGTATCCAAAATCTAGCAGATGGGAGAGGTAACAGATAACAAAGGAGAGGCAGAGAGAGGTCCTCCATCCACTGGTTCACTCCCCAGATGGCTGCAATGGCCAGAGCTGCGCCAATTCGAAGCCAGGAGCTTCTTCTGGGTCTCCCACAAGTAACCATGACTTAAATTTTTAAAAGCTTCAACAGGCAGAAAGAGAAAGCGCGCATCCACTGGTTTACTCCCCAATACCTACAGAGGCCAGGATTGGGTCCAGCTGAACCAGGTCTCTCTTGAGCAGCAGGGATCCAACCACGTAATGCAGCACCTACTGCTTCCCAGGGTGTGCACTGGCAGGAAGCTGGAGTCTGCAGCTGGGGCTAAAGTTGAACCTGGCCATTTTAACCAGCATCTATGGTATAGGGGTTAACTAGTCTTAAATAGATATACATTTTTTAACTTGAAAGGCAAAGTTAGAGGAGGAGAGAGGTTATCCATCCACTGGTTCACTCCCCAGACAGCAGCTTCCCCCGGGTCTCCCATGTGGGTGCTGTGACCCAAGGACTTGGGCCATCCTCTACGCTGTCCCAGGCCATAGCATTGAGCTGGATCAGAAGTGGAACAGCCAGGACTCGAACCAGTGCTCATGTGGGATGCCAGTAAGTCTTTCAGACATGTCACATTGAAACTACATTGCGCCGCATGTGAAAAAGGTGGAGGATTGCCCCCAGGTCACTGGGAAGACCCCAAAGCCAAAGGCACTGTAGGCTCTCCTTGAGAAAACCTGTTGGACCACGGGCAGCGCACCCTGATTGAACAGACATGGCAGATACACGTATGAGGTTCATGACCGCCTCCGGCATTGTGCCCACCGCTCCCTTGCAGCATGTTCAATAAATCTACCTCTGCCCACGCTGACCACTCGGGTAAATTTTTTCATCACAGGAAGCCCAACCTCCAATGGATGGCGAGGTAGGTAATGGCAGCTTGTCCAGGCAAGTCCATACGTGCCCCTGGCCCCCTGATCAATTTCGCCCATCCTTCTCTCTCTCCAGGGAAAAGCTCGCTCATGTCAGGGTAACACCCAGGCTCCTCTGGTGGAATCAAAGGCCCTTTTTATAGATGCCCAGTACCCACCGCCATTGGGGTGAAGACTACACTTCATTCCATCCCTCTAGCCTCCCTTTGTCCTCCACAAAGGTCAAAAGCCGCCTGCTCCGCCCCCACCACCCCATCCATCCTGGGCTGAAAGACCTGACACTTCCAGCGTAAGTACAACTCCCTCCTCCCCCAGAGGTAGACATTCCTTTCTGAGGAGGAACTGTCAAACCTTCTAAACCAAATGAGTACCCTTAGTTTTCCTTTGGTGGGCAGGCTGCCCCGCTGAAGCAGACCTCTCCTCTTCACCCCTCATCCGACCCCTGGGTGCACCCTAAAGAGCTGGTATCAGTTTGACCCCTAGACTTTGAGAAAGCATCAAGTTTTCCTCGGTAATGCTGTCTCCCAGCCCTTCTTAGCCACAGTTCTGTCCTTCAGGTGAGGTCTCGCAACCACTGCAAATGGCCAAGGTCCCTTCTCGCTAAGCCTTCACTGCCCTCCAAAACCCCAACCTACACAAAAGCTGCCACCGGGCCTTGTTCCACCCTGACGTATCGGACGGCCCCTCCTTGTGAGGAGCCTCCTGTTCCTCAACATGTCTTGCCTCTTCGTGAAGTGGAGGAAGGGGAAATGGGGACCACCAGAGTTCATGTCCCACCCCCATGTCAGACAGCAAACTGGGCTCTTTCAGCCCACACCCTTCTCACATCTGGCTTCTGGCCTAATGAGGCCCACGCCCCCACCCCTCAGAACCCCCACGAAGTTATCAGGACAGGGGTCCCAGCAGGAAATGCTGAGATGAATGGAGGCCATCATAAAACCTGTCAACTACAGCAAACTGTTACCCAGGAACCTAATGAAAGCCCCGCCCTATTGAGGCAGTGCAAAAGTAATACTTAGATCCCAAAAGGAAGACCTTGCCATCCCACCTGTCCATTTTGACCATCTACAGAAACTTGAAAAGTTAGACCAAAGACCCCAGCCTCCTTTCCCTGGCATTCAAGGCCTTTAACAACCAGGAGGAGCCCCTGAAAACAGAAGAAAGCAGCACCGATGACAGCCCAAAACATGGCAGCCACCATCACTAGTTAAATCAGGGCCCAAGGCTATGGGACCCATGAGAGCCAGGGCACCTCGGACTCGGTACTGCCCGACCTACCCTCCTGGGCCTGCCCGATCTGTAAGCAACAGGGACAGTGGAAGAAGCTGCCCTTCGTCCTCGGTGTGAGGGGGTCATTCTGCACCCAGTGACCCAGGAGAACGACAGTGCCGCCTCCATCCCTTGGCTTCGAGGAGCCCCTGAAACCGAGGGTGACTGGCTCACCGGACACTGCGCTGGCTCCCCTGTCCCCATCACCCCGTCTGTGGCAGGTAACAATTGATAGTGGACACGGTGGGCACAGGGTCTGCCCTCCCTGTAGTATGCACCCTGGGAGACATTTCCTTTATTTCCACTCCTTTCTCATCCTGCCAAACTGCCCTCCCCCCTTACAAGATGACAAAACTTCGCACTAACTTTCAGCTCTGAACTCACCTGCCCTTGACTGGCTCTTCTGGTCCCCCTACTATAGGTCTGGGGTATCCCCATTCCAGGACAACTGTCGTCTGTGAATCCTGTAAGAATTCACTTACTTCCCAGGAAACCCCACCGGCTTGCTGCATCCCTGCAACTCGCCCATTCTGGCAGTCAACTACCAGCTGGTACAGGTGTTACTGCCTCAGCGATGGCTCAGACCTGTAGATCCTGATGCCCTCCAGAGCTTCCTGGTAGACCGGGTTAGATCCCAAGGAAGCTGCTTCTGTACCCAATAAACACCCAGGTCCTGTCAGAGCAACTGACCCGGACAGCCTGGGGTAGCCCACTGGTATCTGGACAGATCTATCCACCCTCCACCTCCCCTATGGTAGTTCACTGTTCCAAAACTGCATGTAGCCAAAGAAACCTCAAATTCAAATATACCATTCTAGTAAGAATTGGTTTCTTGGGGCCAGCGCTGTGGCACAGGGGGTTAAGCCACCATCTGCAATGCCAACATACCATATGCTCACTTGGTTTGAGTCCCAGCTGCTCCATTTCCAATCCAGCTCCCTGCTGTTGCACCTGGGAAAGCAGTGGAGGATGGCCCAAGTCCTTGGGCTCCTGTACCCACATGGGAGACTTGGAAAAAAATCCTGGCTTCAGTCTGGCCCAGCTCTGGCTATTTGCTACCATTTGGGGAGTGAACACGTGGCTGGAAGATGCTCTCTATCCCCCTCTCTCAAGTAAATAAACTAATATATCTTTAAAAAAGAATTGGTTTCCTATGACTGCAAGGTTTCTCCTTCTACGGCCCAGTTCCTGGGCCTGATGCTTCATTCCTGGAACAAAGAACCTATTGGACCACTGCAAAGGCCTTGTTTTGCATATATAAGCCCCATCAACAAAACAGCAACCATGCTCCTTATTAGGCATCCCTTGGACTGGAGCCCAGAAATGGAAAGCTCAAACTCGGACCACAGCTCCTGCTTCAGCCGTGCCAGGTGTGAGCACGTTCTGATCTGTCCAGGAAAGAGCGTCCCCCTCAGGCTGTAGGGCCCTCCCGGTGCCCAGCTGCATGAGGGTGGCCTCCCTGCTTCTAAGCACTGGCATCCAAGGCCCTTCTAGTTGAAGAGGCAGCAAAGCTGACCCCGAGTGGAGGAAGGGCTGTTCTACGCCCACCAGATAACTGACACCTTCAACTCCAAGGTCTCAAATATAGAATTATACTATTTTTCTTTATGACCCCTGAGCTGAACATCAAATCCTGCTAAACCCTCGTCCCTGCCACCTTACTGCCAGACTCACTTGAACACTCTTGCCAAAAAACCCTAGCGGTCCCCCACCAGTGGGGACCACTGCGACACAAAAGGCTGAACTCAGGAGACCCTGGCAATACTTAGCAGCTAGGGGCCAGCACTGTGGCGTAGTGGGGTAAAGCTGCCACCTGCAGTGCCAGCATCCCATATGGGTGCCGGTTCGAGTCCTGGTGGCTCCACTTCTGATCCAGCTCTCTGCTATAGCCTGGGTGGGCAGTGGAAGATGGCCCAAGTCCTTTGACCCCTGCTCCCTTCTGGGAAAGCTAGAAGAAGCTCCTGGATCCTGGCTTCAGATGGGCATATAAAAATTCTTAACCTTGCCGGCGCCGCGGCTCACTAGGCTAATCCTCCGCCTAGCGGCGCCGGCACACCGGGTTCTAGTCCCGGTCGGGGCGCCGGATTCTGTCCCGGTTGCCCCTCTTCCAGGCCAGCCCTCTGCTGTGGCCAGGGAGTGCAGTGGAGGATGGCCCAGGTGCTTGGGCCCTGCACCCCATGGGAGACCAGGATAAGCACCTGGCTCCTGGCTCCTGCCATCGGATCAGCGCGGTGCGCCGGCCGCAGCGCGCCGGCCGCGGCGGCCATTGGAGGGTGAACCAACGGCAAAGGAAGACCTTTCTCTCTGTCTCTCTCTCACTGTCCACTCTGCCTGTCAAAAATAAAAAAAAAATAAAAAAAAATAAAAAAAAAAAATTCTTAACCTCCACCAAGGCCAAAATCCTTCTGGGACTTGGTGGGACCCCACTTTACAGGCAAGGGTATACCTCAAACTCTTCCAGCTGCCATTCAGGTATGGCCCACCCACTGCCACATAAACCCAGAGGGTACCTGGAGACATGCCCCTCTCCTCCAACCTACCCAAAGACGGGGGACGGGGTCCCTGGCCGAGTTCACACACATCCTCCCTGCAACAGGCTTGACTATTTTCTGCTATGTGTGGACACTTTTACTGGATAGGTAGAGCGTCCCCTACAAGATGCAAAAGGTCTCTGAGGTCGTGGTGACCCTTCTTGACCATAGCACCCCTAGCCTTGGGTTCCCTCGTGCTCTCCGGACTCAATGGCCCTGCCTTCATCTCCCAGACAGCTCAAGCGGTCAGCAGAGCTCTCCAAATCCAAAACCACCTACATGTGTCCCAGCCTCCCTGCTCCTCAGCACAGATCCCTCCCTCCCAAAATTAGCGCAAGAAGTAAATCGGCCATGGCCGTCTCTCCCCAAGATCTGAAACACGCCTCAGCCTGTTTGAGATTCTCTATGAGAGACACTTCCTGCAGCCAGACCTCCTGTCAGAACCCAAAAACCACTGCCCAGCACAGTGTGTCCAATCCCTAGGGCAAACTACAAAGGTCATAAATCACTACCAAAACCAACACAGCCCCAGGCCTGGTCCCACCTTCTCATGCCACCCATACCTGACTTGGGCCTGGGGACTGGGTATACCTTAAAGTTCTCCAAGATAAGAGACCATTGGACTGGACCCTGTCAAGGCGTGCTGGCAATGCCAGACACTCTTCCCCAGGGACCCAGCTCTACACAGTCCAGACGACTTAACCCTTCAGCAGCCCTCAAGGCTGGGGGTTATGTCCAGTCTGCACAAGTCCAGGAGTGGGCCTTAGCCACTGCACACCTGAATGGCCAGAGTCGCCCTCATTTCCACTTACAAGGGAGCATGAGTCCCTGGCTGCTGGTCCAGGACACAGCCCCCAGATATCTCATTAATAAATGACAGAGCCCTGTAAACCACCCAAATTGCAATCTTATCATTCCTACAGAGTCCCAATTTACAAAGCTCACTTGGAGCAAAGAGGAACATTTTCCCATCAGCATTTTTTTTTAGACAGAGTGGACAGAGAGAAAGGTCTTCCTTCTATTGGTTCACCCTCCGATAGCTGCTGCGGCCAGCGCACCATGCTGATCCGAAGCCAGGAGCCAGGCGCTTCTCCTGGTCTCCCACGCCAGGTGCTTCTCCTGGTCCTCCACTGCACTCCCGGGCCACAGCAGAGAGCATGTCTTCATTTACATAATATTCCTTTCATAAAAAATATTCATCTATTTATTTGAAAGGCAGAGTGATAGAGGAGGAAAGAGAGAGAGGAAGTGAGGAAGACAGGTCTTCCATACATCAGCTAACTTCTCAAATGTTCTAGCAGCCAGGACTGCACCAGGCCAAAGCCAGGAACCAGGAACTCTATCTGGGTCTCCGATATGGGTAGCAGAGACTCAATTACTTGAATCACCATTTGCTGCTTCCCAGGCACATCAGCAGGGAGCTGGACTGAACGCAGAGGAGACAGGACTCAAACCAATGCTCTGATGCAGGATTCAGGCATCCCAAGAGATGACCTAGCCTGTTGCACCACAAACCTACCCTCCACAATATTCTTGAGATGACAAAATTAGCGGATATATATATATATATATATTTTTTTTTTTTTTACAGGCAGAGTGGACAGAGAGAGAGAGAAAGGTCTTCCTTTGCCGTTGGTTAACCCTCCAATGGCCACCGTGGCCAGCGCGCTGCGGCCGGCGCACCGCGCTGATCCGAAGGCAGGAGCCAGGTGCTTCTCCTGGTCTCCCATGGGGTGCAGGGCCCAAGCACTTGGGCCATCCTCCACTGCACTCCCTGGCCACAGCAGAGAGCTGGCCTGGAAGAGGGGCAACCGGAACAGAATCTGGTGCCCCGACCAGGACTAGAACCTGGTGTGCCGGCGCCGCAAGGCAGAGGATTGCGAGGCTATATTTTTAAAAAGTCATACCCTCCCCCACAAAAAAAGCACAAATGTTAATGTTCTTTTATAATTTTTCAGATTAAATACTTGGTTCTCTCCCAACCTCTGGTGGTAACAAATGCATTTTACTTTTCTCAAGAATCACTATGAACTACAAGAATTTTAATATAGTTAATGTTCATCAATCAGTTGCAGTAATTACTCTTTGCATGCTCAAAATGTACCATTTAGGTCAATGGAGAGTGAGTGCCTCCAAGTTGGCTGTTGTGTTCTTTGGAATATAATTCCATTCATGTAAAATAGTTATAACAGATGTCTATGTTTATATCTTTTGTCAATTCATATATAGACACAAACATACACAGATATAATGATAAGAATTAAATAGTACCAATTATTTATAAAAGGGCTAAAGAATGAGATGTATGAAGAAACTGTTTTTATATGTGCACACTGCTATTTTATTGGGGCTCCACCACATGTGGCTGATCTTAGGTCCAGCCCCTCCTGAAGCTGGGTTAGTAACTTCAGCCTCCAGTTTTTCCACAGGTCAGAACTGACAGAGTACAGCTCAAAGTGCCACCAGAGGTCACATTTTTAGACTGGGGCAAGCAAAGATCCTCCTATCTGGGAGGATACTCCCAGGGCTAAAGATCCCTCCAGAAGCCTAAGGGCAAAGGCTAGACCTCCTCCTGCAGAAGATCAACTCTTTCTATACAATGGGGAAGGACTTGGAATTTCTAAGATGAGCTACAGGTCTAAAACAAATCCTGTAAATTCCAAAAACCCAAGCCCTTACCAGCCAACAGTGTTCAACTCTCGACATCCACATCTGTATTCAAACACTAGGTGAGCTGTTAACAGAGAACTGCTTTAAAGTCCTTTCATTTACCCAGGATGTTTAAGTTTTATTCCTGGACAAATCCAGACTGTCACAGGCTAAAACCAACCTGTGTGGGTTCCCTGTGTTTGCTGAATTAGTCCCATACACAGAGGCCTAGCAGAACTCCTTTGAGAATCAGCAGTGGGAAACCTGCATCAGGCATTCGGGACACCATCCAAATAAACTCTAGAGAGAAACATGAGAGGAATTTCCTGACACCCAAATCCCATGGAATGTTGGCATATCTCCAGAAAATGATCTGTGTTCTCAAAATCAGTGCATACCAGTGAATTACAATGACCTTGCTGTATTGCTGGCTATCAGAGACATCAGATGCAAGCTGACAGCTCCTGTAATCTAGAACCCTCCAGTCATGCTGGTCCCAACGTTAGTCATTTAGTGTTAATCCTATGAACAGCACATGTATTCCTTATTGACTTTGCCTGATGCTGAGTTTTAAAAATGAAGTTTATTTCTTTCCACATCCTGCTTTTTAAAATTTATACTGTTCAGATGAACTCAACTGACTTTTTATAGACCTCTACAAATCCATTAGGTGATGAAGGAAAAGAATAAAACCAGAAGTGAGTTACCTGGGCCTGGATCATCTTCTGTGCGTGGGAAAGAGCTGACGACTGGGATGCTCTGCCTTTGCGTCCTCTAGATCTATTCAACTTTCTCTTCAGCAATCTCAGTCTTCAATCAAGTGTGCTGTCAGCAACACTGAGAGCCAGAGCCCATGACTCCCCCCCACCACATGTGAGTCTTTTGCTTCTGAAGACTCAGGACCTGTGGGTCAAAGAGAAAATTCAAGTGGTACATTTCCTCTGGGTCTGGACAGTGTCTGCTCCTACTCACTCATCGTAACACCCATGCCCAATGTTGACCATCCCTGTATCTGGTGCCCCAGAAGATGCCAGACCTTTGGCCAGTAAAGCCCAACATTCGGAATGGGGTGGAGGCCTTTTATTCTGTGACGTTTCACTGGGAAGACTGCAAAGAAATGTGGGGAATGAGCTCCACCACTGCACCAGGCCTCCGAAGCAGAGGAATTCAGTTATCCATGTTAGAGAGGATACAAGGTAAAAGGCTGAAACCCATCTTACAACAAAAACCATCTCAAAAGGGAAAGGCGAGCCAATCTTAGTGTGTTGCTGTGGATTCCTTCTGAGAGGAGGAGCGCGGTGGGGGCAAGAGGCGCAGAGTCACCACACAGACCCCAGGAGTAGGATGAAAGCAGGCCAGAGGCGAACAGACCACAGACCCGTTTATTTCAGTTGGTACAGCAGCTTATATAGCTGAGGCGGCCAATCTGGTCAAGGGGCGGTTTATGCCCTAACCAATCACAGCCTGTTGCCAGGCAGGCTCCGTTGCCATGTGTTTCTGAAGCCATCCAATCACAGCCTGTTGCCAGGAAGGCTCCATTACCATGTGGTTTCCGAAGCCATCCAACCACAGCCTGTTGCCAGGCAGGCTCTGTTGCCAGTGGCCATCTTGGCATGGCCTTCTCATTCCACCACACATTAGTGGGAGAGACAAATCAATAAAGTTCTAAGAAAATACACAGGAGAATCTATGTTATTAGGCTATAGAATGATATTCCAAAGAGACCATGTAAAGGGTCCAGTGTTGTGGCACAGCAGATTAAGCCGACACCTGCAACACTAGCATCCCATTCGGGAGCCTGTTCATATGTCAGCTGCTCCACTTACAATCTAGCTCCATGCTAATGGGCCTGGAAAAGCAGCGGAAGTTGGCCCAAGTTCTTGGGCCCCTGGCACTCACGTGGGAGATCCTGGTAAAGTTCCTGGCTTCAGCCTGGCCTTGCCTTGGCCACTGCAGCCATTTGGAAAGTGAACCTGCAGATGGAAGATCTCTTGGTCTCAACTCCTCTATTAACTCTGATTTCCACATAAATAAATACATAATTTTTTAAGAGTCCATGTAAAGCCTATTGTGAAGCAAATGATATTCTGTTAGAGAACTGTGAAAACAGCTTGGCATCATCATTTTAAAAATATTTTTTAAATTTATTTTCATTTCATTTGAAAGGCAGAGAGACAAAGAGAGATGATCCATTCCATTCACTGGTTCACTTCCCAAATGCCTGCAACAGCCAGAGCTGGGCAGGCCAAAGCCAGGAGCCAGTAAAACTCAATCCAGATCTCCTACGTGGGTAGCAGAGACCCAAGTACTTGGGCCATGAACCACGACCTCCCAATGTGCACACCAGCAGAAAGCTGGACTGGGAAGCAGGGCTGGGACTCAAACTCGGGCATTCCTATATGTGGTGAGGGCATTTCAAGAGACAAGTACTGCACCAAATACCTGGCCCTGGCGGCACCTGTGTCAACCGCAGTTATACCACCCCACCCTAATATGTAGGTCTAGGTATACATTTCCTGCCTGCACCAAATAAAAGGCACAGAACACATTTACGGTAAGTTTCACAGCAGCATTACTCATAATCCAAGCCATAAGCAATGCAAGTATAATTAATAGCAGGAAAAAAATTGCCACATATTTAAACGGATAGTGACAGAAAACTACTATCTTTGGCCCAGTCTGTTAAGAATCCTATTACTTTTAAAAAAAATTAATATACTTATTTTCAGTTTATTTGGAAGGCAGAGAAGGAGACAGACGGAAAGAGATCTACGTGTTGATTCATTCCTCAAATGCTCATGACAGCCAGGGTTGGGCCAGGCCAAAGCCAGGAGCCCAGACTCCAATCCAGGTATCGCACATGGGTGGCAGGGACCCACATAACATTAGCTGCCTCCCAGGGTGTACATTAGCAGGAAGGCGGATCAGAAGTGAAGTAGCAGGGAATTGAACTAGGGACGGAATTAAACTAGGGACTCTCACATGGGAGCTGGGCTTACCCAAGGGGCCTTGGAACCACTGCACCAAACAACTGCCCCTAGAGTTTTTAAAGGACTGTAAAACAAAAAGCATATTCAAGAGATCTTATGTAGCTCACAAATCCTAAACTATGTCCTGTAAGCTTTCCCGACACTTGTTACAGAGCAAAGGAAATACACCTATGAGCTGTTAACAGGGAAACCACTCACCAACATAATATTGAGCAAAAGCCTGACACGTACACAGAGAATGATGCATAATCCCAATAAACACAGTTCATATCAGGCAAAGCCAAATTAATAATGCTTAGGAATGATTAGTTATGCGGTGAAGCTACAGAGTGAAGCCAAGAAGTGCTCGCCAGAGAGAGTAACACAGTCATTACCGCTGAGGAGGGAAACTGCCTCACAGAAAATCACCAGGGTGCTGGCAATATTCTACTTCTTACAAACTGTGATGAGAGGTCAAAAGAGAGAAGTGGTGCAAGTAAAGAATATAAAGAATAGATAATCTGACTGAAATACAACGGAGTTTTTGGGGAGCTTAAAAGCATACTATGAACATTTTTATGCCGTTAAATTCTATATCCTACATGAATTCATAATTTTATGATCCTACCTCCGGGAAAGCTCTTAACACCAGACACAACAGCAGGTGTATTTTATGAGGAGGTGACAAAACAGGGATGCCCACCAACACTCTACTTCCTACTTTGCATTGCAGAGCTGAGTCAGTGTGGAAAGCCTAAAAGATTACAAACATGACGAAGCAGGACAGAAAATGAAGGCTCTTTTCAGACATCATAAACGACATGAGAAAAATAGTTCCCAGGAATCTCCTATTATTTCAAAGAGAAAATGGTCCCCCGGGAACTCCCAGGCAGAGTTCGCCTACACAAGCGTGCTCGGTGAGAACTGCAGCCATCGCTACAGCGCTTGTCACAGCACCGGGAACCAGCGCCACCATCCCGGCTCGGGCCACCCAGACCTCCCTGATAAACTGTGATGCGGGTCACCTCGCCAGAGACAAGGGCTCTTACCAAATGGAGACCCTGTCGGTGAGGGCACAAGGACAAGCCTCAGCCGGTCTCGTCACTGGAATGCACCCCCTGCCCTTGAACCTCAACTGGGCCTCCCACCCTACCGCCTTCAACCCCACCGTGCATTCTTCCCCAGGTTCCCAAGGCCCCCCAGTTCCAGGAATTCCCTCCCCTCTGCCCCCTACCCCCGGGACCCCCTGGACCCCCTGGACCCCCGTCCCGGCCCCGGCCCCGGCCCCTGGGGTCGGGGGCTCACGAGCCCGCCGGCAGCTGGTCCCCCACCTCTGCGGGCTGAATGCTCAGAGTAAACGCGGTCTGGCTGTAGATTCCTGCACTGCCTCCCCGCCATTCCGCGCCTCTCCTCCCGACAGCGAGGCAAGCGACCGCACCTGCCACCGCCTCGCCCACGGAGCGCGCGGGCGCTGGCGGAGGGAGCGGCCGCTCCGCACCTGCCCTTCTGCAGGCTCCCAGTCCCTCCCGCTCGCGGAGCGCACGTGGGGCTTTGCGGGGCCTGGGGAGCCGTGGGCACCGACCGGCTCCGGGCTGCGTCGCCTTCTAGCCCTGAGGCCGAGCTCGCAGCGCCCCCCAACCACCAGCCGGGGGTCCCAGGCGTCCGCGGCTGCAGCCCGGCCCCGACCAACCGGAACCCCACACCCGAACCGGACCCTCAGGCGCCCCCACCCCTCACACGCAGGCTGATCCGCGAAGACCCCACAGCCCGGCCGCACGGAAACGGCGGCCGGCGACCCCTGCAGCCCCCGGCCACAGACGGGCGCCTCAGACCCCCACCTGCGCCCCCCAACCCCTCCTTCCCCCGCCACCGGTCCACGCCCACGGGCCGCCTCACCCCATAAAAGCTAGAGTTCTCCCCACTAAAAACTTCCAAGGATAAAGCCACACGCTGAGCGTCCGCCGACTTACCGGGGAGACCCAAATCCGACGCTTCCGCGAGCGGCTGCTTCTAAGCGGCTCATCTCCCAGCTGCCCAGTCGGCCTACGGAGGCCCGGTCGGGTCAGAAATACTTAAAGGCGCACGAGAAACGGGATTTCCGGCGCTGCCCCGCCTGCCAACATGGCGGAGCCCTTATGTCCTCCTGGGGGCGGCCATGTTTGAATACTGAACTGTGGGAGCATCTCTCTAAAAGTGGATAATGTGCTTGCTTCTTCCCAGCGGCTGCCTTTAGCAATAGTTTCATGATGAGAGCAGGCTGCACAGGATTACCAACTCCAGCCTGCTGCTGCGTTCTTTTCCCCGCCTCCTGATTGGTTGTTATTTTGGCCCTATGATTGGTTAAACCTCAGGCCAGAGAGCCAGTTTTTGTATAAAAGAGCCAGTACCTGCAGGCCTCTCTGGCAACTCCTCCCTTGGAGCCCCTTTTCCTGAGTTCTATGGCAGGGTTTCTGTCTTGAGGAACACTTGCTTTGCCTACAGCCCCTGTCTGCGTGGACATTCTTCCGCCTGAGATAAGAATCGAGATGGCCTTCATCGTCCAGTTCCCACTTCGACTATTCCCGAAAATGGGTAGATTTTCAGAGACTTAGTTCGAGAGTCAAATATGGGGCAGGCTAAACTATGTTCAGTGGGCTGGGCAGAGAAGTAATCAGTCAGTGAACTTTATTAGCCAATTAAAAAAAAAAGGGGGGGGGGGTTCCAAAAAGGACAAACATCTGTTCAGGGGACAGCATCGGAAAAGGCACAGCTGGAAAGGCATCAAAGAGTCTGGCAATCAATAGTGGGCAAGAAGTGGTTCTTTAAGAATGGGAAAATGTTTCGAGAAACTGGTGGAGCCTGAGGCTGGCCAGCACAGACTGGGATGGAGACAGAGCAGGGAGCAGCTGGGAGGAGCCTACCTTGAGATTAGGGTGAGGACTTCCAGATAAGGCCACTAAAAGAACAGTAACGGTGCGAAGCCAGTGGGAAATGGGGAATGAGCTTTGAGAGCTCAAAAATACTACGCCAAGAGCTTTTTGATAAAGTGCCAAGACAACTCAACAAATGTAGTCTTCTCAACAAATGGCACTGGAGTAATTGGATATCCATGTGCAAAACCAAGACCCTTGAACCATACACTAAAATGAGCTTAAGATGGATCATAGACTCAAATTTAACAGGTTAAAGTATAAAATTTAGAAAACAAAACAGGATATAATCTTATAAATATGGTTTAATTCTGAAATAACACAGTGAACCTCCGCTTATGGCACCGACACCCTGGGTTCTAGTCCCGGTTGGGGCGCTGGATTATGTCCCGGTTGCTCCTCTTCCAGGCCAGCTCTCTGCTGTGGCCCGGGAGTGCAGTGGAGGATGGCCCAGGTGCTTGGGCCCTGCACCCCATGGGAGACCAGAATAAGTACCTGGCTCCTGCCATCGGATCAGCATGGTGCGCCGGCTGTGGCGGCCATTGGAGGGTGAACCAACGGCAAAAAGGAAGACCTTTCTCTCTCTCTCACTGTCCACTCTGCCTGTCAAAAAAAAAAAAAAAAGACAAAGAAAAAGAAAGAAAGAAATAACACAGTGAAGAACAGACTATAAAAGGAAATAAAAGGGGCTGGCGCTGTGGCAAAGCAGGTAAAGCCACCACCTGCAGTGCCAGCATCCCATATGGGCGCCAGTTTGAGTCCCAGCTGTTCCACTTCTGATCCAGTCTCTGCTATGGCCTGGGAAAGCAGTGGAAGATGGCCCAAGTCCTTGGGCCCCTGCACCAATGTGGGAGACCTGGAAGAAGCTCCTGACTTTGGATCAGCCCAGTTCCTGCCGTTGTGGCCATTTGGGGAGTGAACCAGTAGGTGGAAGACCTCTCTCTGCCATCCCCACCCCTGCCGCTGCCTCTCTGTAACTGTTTTAAATAAATAAATAAATCCTTTTAAAAAATAAACATATACATCTTTTTTTTAAAAAGTGGAGCAACTGAACCTCTTATATGCTGCTGATGGAAGTAGAACAGCCATCATGGAAAAACACTGGTCAGTTTATTATAGAGTTATATATACACTTAACCATGTGACCCATGAATCATAATCCTATGTAATTATTCTACAGGAAAATGTGCTCACCTAACCCCCTTTTTTTAAAGATTTATTTATTTATTCAAAAGTCAGATTTACACACAGAGGAGAGGCAGAAGAGGAAGAGAGGTCTTCCATCCGCTGGTTCACTCCCCAGATGGCTGCAACAGCCAGAGCTGTGCCAATCCGAAACCAAGAGCCAGGAGCTTCTTTCGAAGTCTCCTATATGGGCCCAGGGGCCCAAGGACTTGGGTCATCTTCCACTGCGTTCCCAGGCCATAGCAGAGAGCTGGATCAAAGTGGAGCAGCTGGGACCTGAATCGGCACTCACATGAGGTGCCAGCACTGTAGGTGGCAGCTTTACGCACTCCATCACAGTGCCGGCCCCCACCTAAACCTTTTTTTACAAGAATATTCATAGCATCTTTATTCATAATAGTAAAACAAAAATTCTTGAAACACTGCTAATGTCCTAAGTGGGTGAACAGATGAACAATCTTGTATATCCACACAGTAATTACTACCCACCAATACAAATAAAACAACTGTTGACAGAACAACTCGAATCTTAGGTTAACTTGCCTAAGGTCACTTGCCATGTCAATAGCATACAAGATGTATGATTCCATTTTTAGAATGTTCTGTGGCAAAAGTCTAGGGTTGGGGAGAGGACATGACTTCAAAAAAAGTGGCAAAAAGGAGTTTGTGTTGATTCAAGATTCTCACTCTTGGTTGTGGAGGCAGCTACATGAGCCTTTGTATGTGGCAAGTTTTAAAACTACAAATACCAAACAAAAATTAGTGCATTTTAAAACTAGTGAGATTCAAGTAAATTCTGAGTTAACAGCATCCTAACAATCTCACTGTCGTATTTGATAATGAACTAGAGCTAATTTAAGTGGTATTTTTGGGAAAATCTTCAGGAACTTTTGAATATTTGTTAAGATTTTATGAACCTAAACTTAATGCAAAATGCAAATGTATAAAATCACTGTTTACAGTAATTTCATAAATCACTAGATGCTATTAATAAACTTGGTTTATCCAAATACTTTCCATTACACTTAAATTGAATAGACTCAGTTTTATTTTGAAGTATTTCAAGTATTCTGAAATAATACTTAACTTACAAACGCGAGTATTCATATAATGAAATGAGAGACATATAATGTATCTGTAGTGTATTTATATTAAAATTTAATCCATTATGAGAGGAACTGCCATATTTAAAATTTGTACAGTAACAATGCAACTAGAAATACGGCTCAAGGGATCCTGTCCACAAACACATGAGGTATGCTATTTGTTGCGATTCAGCGTGTGACACAAAACTCTTAATTCATTCCACTGAGGGTTCTTTCCTTTCCAAGTTCTTTGATATTTTGCTAAGCACACTTCACACTGAACATATTCGTAGGTTTTAGTTTTGTGCAGTTTCTTGTCAAATGGTAAAATGAGATTTATCACTACCAACCCTGCCATAGGGAAGTATTTACCTACTGTGGGCTCTCTCAATGGATTGAGGTTTTAATTTCTGAGCAAAGGCTGCTAGCTTGTTCATGATCTAGGACAGTCATTTCTAGCAGCCCATCTTCTCAATGAAAGCATCCCTGGTCTGTCACGGTCACAGGATGTTTTATTCAGTATATACTTTTTAGACAATATAATGTCCTAGAATATTTTCCTCGTGGGCTGTTTGTATCACAGTTACTTCAGGCATGTACCCTTTGATATATAAATGAGACAACTGGCATGGGTGTTCAGCCTGGTGGTTAGGATGCTTATGTCCCACTAAAGAGTACCTGGGTTCAATTCCTGGCTTCAGCTCCTGATTCCAGCTTCCCACCAGAAGACTTTCCAGCAGACTGTGGAAACAAAATATGATGGCTCAAAGTAGCTGGGTCCCTGGCACCATGGGAAACCTGGATTGACTTCCTGGCTTAGGATCATGCTATGGTGTAGTGGGTTAAGCTACTGCCTGCAGCACCAGCACAATTCCAGGCTGCTCCACTTCTGATCCAGCTCCCTGCTAATATGCCTGGGAAAAGCAGCAGAAGATGGCCCAAGGACTTAGGTCCTTGCATCCACATAGGAGACCCAGAAGCTCCTGACTTCAGTTTGGCCCAGCTTCAGCCATTGTGGCCATTTGGGGAGTGAACCAGCAGATAGAATATCCCTCTCTCTGTGTGTCTCTCCCTCTTTGTAACTCTTCCATTCAAATAATAAATAAATAAATAAATAAATAAATAAATAAATAGAAGATGTCCTGGCTCATGGCCCTGTCCCAGCCACTGTGGGCATTTGGGGAGTGAACCAGCACATGAGCTATCTGTCCCATATCAATTTTTAAGTGAGGTAATGCATCACTGAATACACCACCACATCCTTTGCATTCACTGTTAATTCTTCTTTGCAGATAGTACAAAATCTCAAAGAGCCTAGAAGTAGCAAGAGTTTTCCCAAATGACTACCTGTGAATTCTCTTCTGTTTAACAAGGATTGACAAGTGGGCAAACGCTTTCCCACAACCACTACACCCATAGGGCCTCTCTCCTGTATGTTTTCTTTGGTGAACATTGAGCCCTGACTTTGTAGTAAAGGCTTTGCCACATTCATTGCATTCTCTCCTGTGTGAATTCTCTGATGGGTGATGAGATCATTTTTGCACAAAGAGAATTTTCCACATTCAGTGCATGCAAAGGAATTCTTTCCTGTGTGAGACCTCTGATGCTGTACGAGGCCTGTCTTCTTCTGGAGAGGCTTACCACTTTCACTGCATTTGTGTGGCTTCTCCCCACTATGAGTTTGCTGATGTATACCTAGAGTGCTCTTCAGGGCGAAGCTCCTTCCACAGTCACTGCATACATAGGGCTTCTCCCTGTGTGAGTGTGCTGATGGGCAGTGAGCATGCTTTTGCTTGTGAAGCTTTGCCACATTCTCTGCATTTATAAGGTTTTTCTCCCGTGTGTGTTCGCTGGTGTCCAATCAGCCGGATCTTTGCTGGAAAGCCTTTACCACAGTGACCACAACATAAGGTTTATCTCCTGTATTAGTGCTCTGATGAACAATCGGGCGGCTCTTCACAGTGAAGCCTTTTCCACACTCTGCACACATACAGCTTCTGTGCAGTATGAGTTCACTGATGTACAATGAGGTCACTCTTTGTGGTAAAGCCCTTCCGACATTCAGTGCATACATAGGGTTTTCTGCCTGTGTGTGTTCACTAATGTCTGATAAGAGGGCTCTTCAAGGTGAAGCCTTTTCCACACTCACTGCATTTATAGGGTTTCTCTCCAGTATGAGTCCGCTCATGCACGACCAGACAGTGCTTGATTGAAAAGCCTTTGCCACATTCACTACATGTACACAATTTCTCTTTTGTATGAGTCTGTTGATGTGCAGTAAGACTGTTCTTCAAAGTGAAGCCATTCCCACATTTATTACATATAAAGGGTTTCTCACCAGTGTGCATTCCACGATGGGCAGTAAGACGCCTCTTCTCAATGAATCCCTTTCCACATTCAGCACATACATAAGGTTTCTCTCCAGGGTGAGTTTTCTGATGTGTGGCGAGACTGAACTTTGTAGAGAAGGCTTTCCCACATACACTGCATCCGTGGGGTTTCTCTCCCATGAGTTTGCTGATGATAAATGAGCTGCCACTTTTTGATGAAGGTTTTCGCACAGTCAGTGCAAGTGTAAGGCTTCTCTCCCGTGTGAGTTTTCTGATGTATGCTAAGCTGTGATTTCCTGGGGAAAGCTTTGTCACACTCAGTACATTTATGTTTCAGTCCTGTATGACTCCCCTGATGCTCTGCTAGTCTGGATTTTCTGGAGAATGTCTTCCCATACATACTGCATCCCTGAGGTTTGTTCCAGTATGCACTCTCTGATGAGAATATATGTGGGGACTGGAGCTGTGGTGCAGCAGTTTAAAGCCCTGGCCTGAAGCACCAGCATCCCATATGGGCACCAGTTCTAGTCCTGGCTGCTCCTTTTCAGATCCAGCTCTCTGCTATGGCCTGGGAAAGCAGTGGAAGATGGTCCAAGTCCTTGGGCCCCTGCACCTGCGTGGGAGACCCAGAAGAAGCTCCTGGCTTCTGGCTTCATATCAGCGCAGCTCTGGCTGTTGCTGCCATCTGGGGAGTGAACCAGTGGATGGAAGACCTCTCTCTCTAACTCTCTCTGTAACTCTGGCATTCAAATAAATAAAATAAAATCTTTAAAAAAATAATATATGTGGACAAACATGTACATATTATTAAGGTTAATACATACAATAAAGAAAGGCCTGTGGGAAACGTACTTCCATGTTTATAAGAAAGCTGTAGTTGAAGGTCACCACCTGCTACACCTGTCTATGAAGATAAAGACCTTTGTGAGCTTCAGAACTACGTGCCATGAAACACTGACATCCCTGCAAACACGGGTCTGGTTTCTGAAGAATGATGTAGCTTATGAGGATTCCCTTGTACAGCCGTCAGAAATGTAAGATGCAGGCTGACAGCCAGTGTAAGCAACAGGTCCATGTAGTGTTCCAACATGAATCAGTAGTCCAAATCTTAGCAAAAATAGGTTTCTGTAAACAACAATATGTGACCATTTACTTCTTCAAACATCTTTTTACATTTAAAATAATAAATTGAAGGGCCCAGTGCTGTAGCATAGTGGGTAAAGCCACCGCCTGCAGCCAAGGCATCACATATGGGCACTGGATCAAGTCCCAGCTGCTCCACTTCTGATCCAGCTCCCTCGTGATATACCTGGGAGGGCAGCCAAGGATGACCCAAGTGCCTGGGTCCCTGCACCCATGTTGGAGACCCAGAGGAAGCTCCTGGCTCCTGGCTTTAGATCAGCACAGCTCCAGCTGATGTGACCATTTGAGGAGTGAACCAGCAGATGGAAGATCTCACTTTCTCCCTCTGTCTCTTTGTCTGCAACTCTGCCTTTCAAATAAATATTAAAAATTTTTTAATAATTTTTAATTTTTTTATGTTCTTGGTGCATACACTACAATTTGAGAATAACATTGCAAGCAAATAATAAACACCATCTTATTTTTCATTATCCTTCACTTCATGATACCCTGTATTCTAAGTATAAAGCTATAAAGAATACTAAGCACAAACAGCTTTGAGGAATAAAACTGAAATAGACATCTTTAGAGGCTGGTGCTGTGGCATAGCCAGTAAGGCTGCCACCTGCAGTGCTGGTGCCCATGTGGGCGCTGGTTCAAGTCCTGGCTACTCCACTCCAATCCAGCTCTCTGCTCTAGCCTGGAAAGGCAAGAAGATGGCCCAGGTCCCTGGGACCCTGCACTCACGTGGGAGACCCAGAAGAAGCTCCTGGCTTCAGATTAGCCCAGCTCTGCTTGGCCATCTGGGGAGTGAACCAGCAGATGGAAGGCCTCTCTCTCTCTGCCTCTCTGAAACTCTGCCTTTCAAATAAGTAAATAAATCTTAAAAAAAAAAAAAAAAAAGGACATCTTTAGGCAAAGCATACAGAATTCTTCATCAGAAGACCTGTGGGAGACTGGATTAGGGTCACTTAGATTTGATGGTGAATAGTGTAAACCAGCACACTAAATGTCTGCTTCCACCCCTTTTCTAAATTTGAGAGAGAGAGCAAGCGCTATCGAGCAAGATTTTCTGTTTGCTGGTTCACTCCCTAAATGCCCTCAAGGGGTTAGTGGTGAACCTGCCAAAGCTGACCATGGGACCCTAATCCAGTCTCCCACAGGTATGGCAGGAACCCAACCACTTGAGCCATCATTGCTTTCTCCCAGGGTCTGCGTTAGCAGAAAGCTGGAGTAGTGAGCCAAAGCTGTGCATCATACCCAGTTACTACAGTGTGACTGTGGGTGACTGACTCTCATCTTCAGTGCTAGGCCAGAATCCAACTTCCCTTGCTGGTTTTGTTCCTCTTCACTTCATTTTACTCCCCTGTTTGCATTGCAGTTTCTTTGCCTTTTGTTTAAAGAGCTTGCATTCATTGGCATTTTCTGTACGATAGGTCTTCTGAGAGTTGCATATAAATGGTTTCTCTCCTGTGTGATTTCGCTGATGTATGATGACATAGTGCTTTGTGGTGAAGCCTTTGCCACACTCAGTACAAACACAGGGCTTCTCTCCTATGTGAGTTTGCTCGTGTATCACTAGCATGCTTTTCCCAGTGAAGCCCTTTCGACACTCATTACACAGAAAGGACTTCTCTCCAGTATGGTTTCGCTGATGTATAATGAGGTTACATTTGCCTGGGAAGCCTTTTCCACATACACTGCATATATAGGGTTTTTCTCCAGTATGAGTTCGCTGGTGCTCAGACGGTCCTTCATGGTGAAGATTTTTTCAACAGTCACTACATACAAAGGATTTCTCTCTTTTATGAATTCCCTGATGTTCATTGAGCCTGGACTTCCTAGAAAATACTTTTGTGCACATATTGCAACCATAAGGCTTCTCTCCTGTATGAACTCTCTCATGATCTGTGAGTTGAGACTTCTTGAAAAAGGCTTTCCCACATTCATGGCATACATGGGTTTTCTCTATTTCATGAGTTCTCTGATGCTTAATGACTTGAGACTTACTGCTATTGAGTTTTCCACTTGGAGGGAATTTAACTGTGGAATGAAATTTTTCACACTTATGCTCAAACAATTTCCCATTTCCATGAAATTTAGGAGTGTTCTTAATTTCACAGCTTTTGTTCTGGCTTACTAAACTTAACTTTGATTTCAATGTTTTGATGTATAACTCAAATGCATAATTTTCCCTTAAAGGAAAATGACTTTTGTTTTGACAAACAATACTTCCAAGTGCATTTTGTTCATGGTGGTGTTCCATACTCTTCAGCATTCTTTCCCTGAAATGACTCTGAAGATGATTATCAATTTTGTGATTTTCTACAAAAGAAGAGAACAGGGAATCCTTTTATCATCTTGTGTGGACTAACACTTAAAAAAAAAAAAGAAACTCAATGTTTTTAAAACATAGCTATGATAAATGTATAAAATCAACTTCATGTGTATATATTCCCTATCAATTGATTATTGGTAAAAATGGAACAGATGGAGTACTCCTACACTGCCGCTGGGAAAGCCAGCACAGCCACGTGGGAAAAGTTGGGCACTTTTTGGTGAACACAAACTTCACACATGAACCAGCAGTTCTTGGTGTCTCTCCCAGAGCCCAACTTATGTTCACATAAAATTAGGTACAGAAATGTTCAAAACATCTTTATAACAGTGAAACATTGCCAACAATTCAGATATCCAACCATGATTGGATAAATGAACCACGGCAATCGTTAGAAAGTACTACTAGTGGTCGGTGCCGTGGCTCACTAGGCTAATCCTCCACCTGCGGCGCCGGCACCCCAGGTTCTAGTCCTGGTTAGGGTGTCAGATTCTGTCCCAGTTGTTCCTCTTCCAGTCCAGCTCTCTGCTGTGGCCCAGGAAGGCAGTGGAGGATGGCCTAAGTGCTTGGGCCCTGCACCTGCATGGGAGACCAGGAGGAAGCCCCTGGCTCCTGGCTTTGGATTGGTGCAGCACAACAGTCACAACACACTGGCTGTAGCAGCCATTTGTGGGGTGAACCAATGGAAGGAAGACCTTTCTCTGTGTCAGATCTCACATGATAGACATATATAATTCAGAGATAAGGGGTAATATTTTATGTCGTTTCATTAAAAATATGACCTCTCCATATTAAAATGTTTAGGTCATTGGGCCAGTAAAAACACTATAATATAAACAAAAGATAAAAAGTCTACAAGTAAGGCTTGGCAGTTGATAGTTTATATCAACATAGTAAAATGAAGTCATTGTTGAAACCAAAACACAGGGTTGGTAGGACTGCCATTTCCAACACTACTTGCAGAGACACCATACCACAAAGGTAAAAGAGATAACTGACCTAAAATAATGAGGGTTGTATTTCTTGACTCTGCAAATTTTGAAGTGGCTCCTAGCTACAAAGCACTCCATTGGTGTTTGGGATATATAAAATATGCCCCAATTTCATTAATTACAAATTCTAATTAGGAAAAACTGAATAAACAAGAAGGAAAGAAAGGAGACTGGAAATGACTAAATGTGTTTTGAAGCTGTGGAAATGGAATGAGGTAGAAAATAATCAGATTATATTTGTACGAAGAAAATACAAAGTTAAATGATGGCTTCAGTGGCTAACATAAGGGAGGAATCAAATATTATTTCACTAAGTGTATGGATTGAGCCACTAGGTAGGTGGAAGAGTCTTGTAATGAGATGTGGAGTACTGGAGTCTAGAACATGTAAATGAAAATACGCACTGTGAAACAAACTGAGATACTACTGGGATGTGTAGTGCTACAGACATGAAGATTCTGGAGGAAAGATAACAACGTGGAAAAAATATGTGCTAGTACATATTAAAGAAAAGAGGATAAGACGTGTTGGGAGGACATATGGAGTGAAAGATGATGAGGGTATAGAACCAAGGGTTTGCACATGCTAGCTTTTACTTTTGGGATTCTTTAAGTCCATTTAGAAGAACCAAGCTCTGACTAGTGATTAGGAAAATATGCAGGGGCCGGCACTGTGGAGTAGCCGGTAAAGCTGCTGCCTGCAGTGCCAGCATCCCATATGGGCACTGGCTGGAGACCTGGCTGCTCCACTTCCGATCCAGTAATCCTGGCAATAAATGTTTGCATTAACACAAACATTTAATTTCCTCATGTTCCTACTCCACTATTTCTCAGACAGATACCTTGAATTCTGGCTTCATTTGGCTGAGTGAAGGCCAGTATTTTGAGTTAGCCCTGCAGCTTTGTACATTTTCTACTTTATGCTGCCATTCCTAACTTATGCTATCATCTTTAATTCAAAATCTATATGTACCTCATGAACACCATCCACTCATTCCTATTTTGACTGAACCATCTTAAGATCTATTTCTGGGGCCGGCGTTGTGGCATAGCAGGTAAAGCTGCCACCTGTGGTGCCAGCATTCCTTATGGGCACTGGTTCGAGTCCCAGCTGCTCCACCTCCAATCCAGCTCTCTGCTGTGGTTTGGGAAGGCAGTGGAAGATGGTCCAAGCCCTTGGGGCCCTACAGCCATGTGGGAGACATGGAGGAGACTCCTGACTTCAGATTGGCTTAGCTCCAGCCGTTGCGGCAAATTGGGGAGTGAACCAGTGGATGGAAAACCTCTCTCTCTCTCTCCCTGCTTCTCCTTCTCTCCCTGTGTGACTCTGACTTTCAAATAAATAAATAAATCTTTTAAAAAATGTTCTATTTCCTGGGGTAGGTGTTGTGGTGCAACGCGTTAAGCCACGACTGGAGACACCTTCATTCCCTATCGGAGTGCTGGTTTGTGTCCTAGCTGCTCTTTCCAATTCAGCTTCCTGCTAATGCATCCTGGAAGACAGGAGATGATAGTTCAAGTGCTTGGGACCCTGCCATCCATGTAGGAGACCCAGATGGAGTTCCAGTCTCCTGGTTTCATCCTGGTCTGGCCCAGCCTTGGCTATTACGGGAAGTAAATCAGTAGATGAAACATATCTCACCCTCTGTCTCTTAGTCCCTCAACTAGCTGAAAATAAATAAGCATTTTAAAAATATCTCTAAATTCATCCCTTTATTATTCATAGTTACCCTGTGTGTAGTGAATACTTTTTTAAATATTTATTTATTTATTTGAAAGAGTTACAGAGAGGGTGACGCAGGGGCAGAGAAAGAGGTATTCCATCCACTAGTTCACTCCCTAGATGGCAAGAACAGCCAGGGCTGAGCCAGGCCAAAGCCAAGAGCCAGTAGCTTCATCTGGGTCTTCCACCTGGGTGCAGAGGCCCAAGGACTTGGGGCATCTTCTTGTTGCTTTCCCAGGTGCATTAGCAGGGAGCTAATCAGAAGGAGAGCAGGAGGGCTCGAACCGGCACCCATATGGGATGCCAGCGCTGCAGGCAGTGGCTTTACCCACTACACCACAGTGCTGGCCCCGTGTAGTGAAGATTTAATTACACCCAAATAGAGGTCTGGCCTTTGCCTACTGCTATTGGGAGATGATTTCCAGGCCGCTAGATGTCTTGCCCCAGAGGAGTATCTTTCTTTGCTTGTTGGTTTGGATCACTGAACAATCTTAACAATGTGATTCATGAAAAGGACTTTGAGCTACAACACACAGCCTGGTCTTCTGAGGAACTACAGTCTATTGGTACAACCTGACTTCAGGGAGAGACTAGAAACTAAAGGTCAGTGGTTCGGTGGTGTGTGGTTGAGCCTCAACAAAAACTAAGGGCATCAAAAGCTCAAATGAGGCTCACTGGATGGCAATACATGTGCCACCACAGGAGGTAATGCCATCTGTGTCCAACAGGAGAAGACCTGGGCACTATATTGAATGCCATATGACCCAGGAATTCTACTCTGGTAGATACTCAAGAAAAATGAAAACATCTTTTTACAAAAAAGTTGTACACAAGTGTTCTAATACCATGATTCATTAACATCAGAAAGTCCATCAACAGATGGATGTCCATCAATAGATGGATAAATAAAATGTGGTATATCCACATAATGAGATATTATTTAGCAATAAGAAGGAATGAAATACTGATGTATTAAAACATAGAAAAACATCAAAAACGCCACATTAAATGAAAAAAGCCAAACACACACACACAAAAATACCTATGTTAAGATATTCATATAAAATGTCAAGAACAGGCAAATCTTTAGGTAGAAAAGCAGATGAATGGCTGTCCAGGGCTAGGAGTTTAGGAAGAAAATGGGTATTGTTTTTCATGAGTACCACATGATTGTGGTGATGGTTATATAACTGTTAATATACTGCACAGAGTGACCTGTAAATGTGAAATTGGCAAATTCTAATGTGTGAATTATTTCATCTTAAACATATTTAATAAAAGAAAAATATGAGAAAAAATTACTTAAGGAAGTGAATACAATGCTAAAACCTATGATGAACAAAAAGAAAATCAGAAATATCAAACACGGGCTGGCATTGTGGCATAGTGGATTACACTACCACTTGTGATGCCAGCCTCTCAGAGCAGAGTGCCCATTCAAGTCCAAGTGCTCTGTTTCCAACCCAGCTCCCCATTAATTCATCTGTGAAAGCAGATGATGGCCCAAGTCTCTTTAAATGGGAAACTAGGATGGAGTTCCAGGCTCCTGGCTTTGGCCTGGTCCAGCCCTGGCAATTGGGTCACTTTGGGAGTGAATCAGTAGCAGGCAGATCTCTTTCTCTGTCTCTCCCTCTATGTTACTTTGCCTTTCAAATAAGTAAAATACATCTTTAAAAACAACCAAAAAAAAAATCAAGTGTACGAAGGAAGAAAACTGAGGTAGACTTAAGTTATGACTTGCTGCACTGGAAGCGATGTAGGATAAAACAGTTCTTTCCAATTCAATAGTCAACAGAAACAGCAGAGACTATCACCAGGGGAGAATTTTGGCACAGTGGTTAAGACGCCACATAGGATGCCTGCACTACATTTCATATGGAGTGCCTGGTTTGAGACCCAGGTAATCCAATTCTGTTGCAGATTCCTGCTAATGCACACCCTGGGCAGTTAGGATGATGGCTCAGGTAGTGGGGTTTCTGTTACCCAAGTAAGAGACCCAGACTGAGTTCTGGGTTCCTGGCTTCAGTTTGGCCCAGTCTGGACTGTCATGGGTATTTGGGAAGTGAAGCAGTAAATGGAAAAATCTCACTTTTTGTCTCTCTGCCTTTCAAATAAAATGAAAAGAAAAAAAAAAGAAAAGAAAAACTCGATAGAGAACATTCAAGACAACATCAGCATATAAAGCAAAATATATAGAGTAAATATATCAAGTAAAAGTAAAACACATAGAACTAAAGTGTATGTTTAGACAATATTAAGGATAATATCAATTTGGGAATCTCATCCTGAGAAGAGAAAGAGCTTATTCCTAAGAAGGAAAATTTTAGGATTAGGAAAATAGAGAAAATAGAAAATAAAGCTACTGACGAATCTCAAGGTAGGGAAAAGGAAACCAAGGAATCAGATAAATGCACAGTAGAAAACCAGGTTACTATGTGGAAGCTGGGTATTACAGCAAGGTCTGGAAGGCAGAATTTCATAAGGATATGGAAGGAACAGGCAGGGACACTGTGACAGGGTTTAAACAAGGAACATGATAGGATTCAAGGAAGAAAAAAGAAGAGGCAAATAAACCAAAAGCAAGATGTAACATAAAGAAACAGGAACTAGATCTTCAAAGAGAAAGGGGTATATTTCTCCTGAAAAGCCTCGCAGTTCTGACACAGGGAGACAGATTCCCAGAGGCATTGTTCTGCAGCCTCAGACACCTGCACAGCCTTCGCTGACTGACAAGAATGTGACTCCTGCAATTGTGCATCCTGCTGGCTCCCATCCACTCACCCAGGCAGACTGGACTGTGCATTTTGTCTTCCATTGTCCACAGTTCTCCTCGCTCCAATTTAGAGATGACATCTGGCTTGCTGGCTTGATACCCTGGTCATAGGAAATGAGAGAAGACTCAGGCACATCCACTGGGCTGCCGTATGTCAGCATGGGACAAGGTTATACAACAGACTGCACACCTTTGCCATCTGCAAAGTAGAGGCTTTCTCGCAGGAGAGGGGACTTTCTCTCTTTCTACAAGGAGCCAGAGGAAGCACTGAGAATCTGCCCTGCAGGACACTACAGTAATCCCAAGTGTGAACAGCTGAGACAGGGAGGCCACCATCTGGACACCCTCTCGCGTCCTCACCCACGGACACCAGGTTGCTGTAGTTCTCCAGCATCACGTCCCAGTAAAGGTCCCTCTGAGCAGGGCCCAAGAGCTGCCACTCCTCCTGAGTAAAGGCGACAGCCATATCCTCCAGAGTCAGAAATTCCTGTAATAGCAGGATACTGCTTAATATGAGACCTTTTCTTTTATTGATTCCTATGCAATGTAAAGGAGGTTGTTCTCATATTCACCATACAGAATGCATCTATAAGGTTATTTTATTTTCAATGTGTTGTCACAGAATCAATCTCCTACTATTCTGTAATTGTGCATCAAGCCACTCACTCAACAAAGTATAAGATTTTGCAGTAAGTAGCCATCAAATCCTTTCACTAAAAATAGGTTTTGTGGTGCCAGTGCTGTGGCATAGTGGGTAAAGCCACTGCCTGCAGTGCCAACATCCCATATGGGCACCAGTTCGAGTCCTGGCTGCTCCACTTGCAATCCAGCTCTCTGCTATGGCCTGGGAAAGCAGAAGATGGCCCAAGTCCTTGGGCCCCTGCATCCATGTGAGAGACTCAAAAGAAACTCCTGGCTCCTGGCTTTGGATCAGCCCAGCTCCAGCTGTTGAAAACACCTGGGGAGTGAACCAGTGGATGGAAGATCTCTCTCTGCCTCTGCAACTCTGCCTTCCAAATTAATACATAAATCTTAAAAAAAAAAAAGACAAAACAACATTGGACCATTCAGATTGTTGAAAGCTGTGCAATTTGATAACATCATCAAATATGGGTTAGGGCAAGGATAATCCCACATATCACTTACATAAAGTGTGGCAGGCACTCATTTAAGCCCTTTATGTATATTAACTCATTTTTGACTATGACAACAGACAAATGGAATTTTATGTAGTTAATGGTCTTCAATCAGTTGCAGTCATTATTCCTTTAGAATCTTGCTCTTTACAGTCATTGTGTGTCACATAACTTAGCATGATTCTTTTTTTTTTAATTAAAAAAATTTATTTGAAAGAGTTAGAGAGAGAAGTAGAGCCACAGAGAGAAAGGTCTTCCATCACAAATGGCACTCCCCAAATGACCACAACAGCCAGAGCCAAGCTGATCCAAAGCCAGGAGCCAGGAGCTTCTTCCGGGTCTCCCACGTGGGTGCAGGGGCCCAAGCACTTGGGCCATCTTCTACTGCTTTCCCAGGCCACAGCAGAGAGCTGGATCGGAAGTGGAGCAGCCGGGAATCAAAACGGCGCCCATATGAGATGAGGGTGCTGCAGGCCAGGGCCTTAACCCACTGCACCACAGCGCCAGCCTCAGCATGATTTCCTTGTTTTGCTGGCTGCCAGAGAGATTAGATGCAAGCTGACAGCTACTGTAACCCACAGGAACCTCCATTCATGTGTGATGTTCCAGTAGTCATTTAGCAGGAATTATATGAACACTATTCTTGGTCTTACTTGACATGATGTTGGAATTAGATTCAAAGTGTATTTCAGTTTAGATGTTACAATGAGTTTTTACAGGCATCTACAAATCCATTAGGGAATAAATGAGAAAATATAATGAGAAAAATGGTCACCTGAACAATGACCATGTTTTTCTGCTTGAAGAAATGGCCAGTGACTGGGAACAGTCTTTGTTTCTTCTGGATATGCCCTCGATTTCCAGACGGGATCCCAGCCACTTGTGCAAGGGGCCTCCAGAAGTGATGACTTCCAGGTCCCAGAACACCCTCTTTCTGCATTCACTTCTTATCTCTTCCAGGGCAGCCAGGGCTGCTGTAAGCTGAACAGCGAACAACTTTCAGGAGTACATTCCTCTTGCTGTGCACCCTCCTTCACATACGGCCCCCAGTATTTCTGTCTCTTTGAGGATGTGTATCTCAAACCATGAAATATAAAGCCCTGAACGTGTGGGCAGCAAGAATGTGAAAGGGAAGATGGCAAAGGAGAAGCAGCATAATATCAAGCCTGAGGTGATTTTCATATCTATTTTGGAAATGAGGCTGTATGGACAGTGAGGAGCTGTGAACTTTTCCCTTAAACTATGTTATCCTCATAGAGGTCTTTACATGGGACTGGCATTGCGGCACAGTGGGTTATGCCACTGTTTGCAATGCCAGCAAGAGTGGAGGTTCAAGACCCTGCTGTTCCACTTCCAATCAGCTCCCTGCTAATGTGCCTGGGAAAGCAGCAGAAGAGGGTCCAAGTGCCTGGCTTTCAGCCACCCACATGGGAAACTGGCAGGAGTTCCAGGCTCCTGGCTTAGGCCTGGCTCAGCCCAGCCCAGCCCAGCCCAGCCCCAGCCATCGTGGCCATTTGGGGAGTGAACCAGTGGATGGAAGAGGTGTGTGTGTGTTTGTGTGTGTGTGTGTGTGTGTCTTTGTCTCTTCCTTTAACTCTGCCTTTCAAATAAATAAATCTTTAAAAATAGATAAAGCAAAAATGTCTTGGGATATTTCTTTTTTTCCAAAAAGTCTTTCCATGCCAATCTTACACACTCCCATATGAGGAACAACGAGCAAACTGTAGCTTTCATATACTCGCATACAGAACCTGAAAGAAAATACCCGTAAGAAATATGCAACAATTCCACCGGCGGGAGAATTAACACTCTTAAACACAAGACATTACATTTTAGATTTGCTGAATCGTTTGTCCCTAGTGCGATTCACCCTCACCCCGAATCTCCCTTCTGCAGCTTCAAGATGACCCCGTGACGGGGAACGGCAAACACAACCGCGAGTTTAGCCGTGGAAGGGGAATCTGGGCCTGGAGCTGTTTGAGATGTTAATAATGTAAACCAAGTCTGTTCAGCGAAGTCTGAGCTCAACTCTTGCCCCAGCCAGGGCTGCGGAGCCTCCGAAGCTTCAGTCTTCTCCGCACAACGTACGGTGCTCACCGCCACCCCGTATTAACACCAACATCCGGACTCGATGCACGAATGCGCTCATGCCCCTCAACAGGTCCTCGACCGAGCCCCGAAGAATCCAGCACCCCGAGGAGAAGCCGCAGCCATTGCCGGCGCCCCCTCACCTCTCAGGGGTCCGCCAACACTCCGACGCGGGGCCTCGGATCCGTCCCGACTTCCACCCGCTCGCCGCCCACGCCGAGCCCTCGTCACGGAGCTCCACAGCAGCCCCCTCCTCCAAGGCAGACGCCCCGCGCGCGGCCTCCCATCAGGCTCCCTCCTCCGCCTCCTCCTCGGAGGGACCAGCACCCGCACCCGCACCCACACCCGCACCCAGCTCCTGAAACCCCAGCGAGCCCGTGGGCGCTCAGCGGACTTCCCTAAACTTCCGCCACTTCTGCTCTCCCGGCCCAGCCGGGTCTCCAGCAAACACCTGCTGAAGGGACGCCGCGTTTCTAGGGAGAACGGGAGGGAGCTTCCGGCTCCTCTTTGTGAGGTAACAAGTCCGCGCCGGCGTCGCCCGCGCGGCCTGGGCGCGGCCATCTTGGCCTCTCTGACGTACGGGAGGCGGAGAGGCCGCCGGACACACCAGAGAAATGCCTAGGAGCGGTTCTTGTTCCGCACTCCTCGGGCTCGGCGGAAGATGTGGGGGTTGTCGGGGGCAGGGATGGCGTGTGGAAGATTCCTGTCGACGGCCGGAGCACGGTTGGTCTCCTTCTCTTCAGAGACCGGAGCCCGGCAGGATCCAAACGTTGCGACCGCGCTGCCAGTGTCTCCCCGAGCAGTGCACTTGAACCTGTCCAGCTCAGCACAGGCCATCAGTGAACCGTCTGCGGCCATGCAGCCTGCACTTTATGACTAGAATCGCACCGCTCGGACTTGTTTCTTGCTCCTTTCACACAGCATGATTGGGAATTCATCTCTGATGTTTCAGTAGTCTCCTTTTGTTGCCTAATATTCGGTTGCCAAAATATATTCGATTATTTACCAGACGTGGACAGTTTGGGTTGCTTCCAGTTTACTGGGTATTGCAAACGGAATGATGAATATCCATGTGCTTAAAAAAAAAAGAGACCGCAAAGAACTGGATTTGCCACGATTCTATGCGTTTGCATTACCTCACCAAGAGGTTTTTGTGTGCCGATTGTAAGCATACTATTTGTTTCTATCTCTGCCCCAGTTCATTGTCGTAATTTTCATAATAAACCTGATAGCCACGAAACTACAAGTCAAAGCAGGAAGTCAGTTCCATCTTCAAAAGTTCTCTCAATTCCAACCAGTCTCTCACATCATCAATACACCGACTCAGTACCTCATCTGATAGAGGAATTGTCACTGCATCATTGGCTTTATTATCTAGTATTCACAGAAAACGTAAGGTGAGCCTTGCAAAAAGTCAATCAGGAAATCACCCTGCTTTTGATTACCTAATGAATGCACTAATAAAACTTGAAGTACTGAGACAGCCTCCTACTTCTAGGTGTTTAAAAATATTTGTTGGGGGTAGGTGTTGTGGCACAGTGAGTTAAAGTGTAAGACACGTCTTGTAACAGACTTCTGGTTCATGTCCTGGCTACTCCAGGGCCAGCCCAAAGCAAGGAGCCTGGAACTCCATCCAGATCTCCCATATGAGTAGTTGTAGTTCAAGCATTTGAGCCATCATCTGTTGCTTCCTGGGATGCATTAACAGGAAGCTGGATCAGAAGTGGAGGTGATGGGACTTGACTTGGCACTTTGATACGGAATACAGGTGTCCAAAACCGTGGCTTAACCTACTGTGCCACAGTGTCTGCCCCTGCCTCATAGTTTTTTCAGCACGTTCCCTTCATTGGATCTGAGTAGAAGACAAGAGCTCCAATCCTGAAAGACTAAGAAGGAATGATTAAAATAAGGAAAATATCATGGCCTAATTAAGCCATTCAGAGAAGACCTGGTATTTTCCAAATGATGGCAAGTATCAAGTAGTCCTGGAAACACATATATAAAGGAACTCGTATAAAGTTTCTTCACCAAGACATCCCAAGAGGATCTTACCTGCTCTCATGTGCTGTACTTCCCTCCGTCTTAGAGTGAAGTCCTCATCCTTTTTATTCTACTTATTCTTGGCTCCCATTCCTTTTCTGCTCTTCCTCTTTTATATGTAGACACAGGTTGAATCTCTAAACAAACATGCACCAAAAAAAAAAAAAAGTTTTTTTAGAACTGCTTTCCAGTGGCCCATTCTCTAAAATGACAAAATAGTCTTGATTTTCTGTTCACCTTCCAAATAATTTTTATTTTTCTATGTCATCAGGAATATATGATTTTATAAACCAGCCCTATTCAGTAGACTGTACTGTGATGATAAAGTTGTTCTGTCTGTACTGATCAAAATGCTGGTCACTAGTCACATATGGCTATTGAGCTCTTAAAATCTTATCAGTTATTTTTCTTGCACCACCTCATTCTAAATACATATATTTTGAACCAGTAACTCATGGCCATTTCACTTAATACATATTCTGAGTACAATAGGTATAAAGATACTTCTTACAGATAATTGATTTAATTCAATGCTTGTTCCAAAAGAGCACCAACATTTCTGTTTCATTTGCACCATATCTTCAGTTAGTGGACCAGAATGAAGCCAGGAGCCAGGAACTCCAGCCCAGTCTCCTACATTGGTGGCAGGAGCTCAAGTACTTGAGCCACCATTATCTGCCGCTTCCCAGGCACATTAGCATGGAGCTGGACTGGAAGCAGAGTAGCTGGGACTTGAACTGGCACTCCAATATTGGATGTGGTTGTCCCAAGTAGCATCTTAACCCATTGTACCACAATGCCAGCCCCAAACAAGGCTTATGTGTTAACAAGATGTCACTTATATGTAATAAGAGCTGTGATTCTTTGAAATGATTTTGTAACTTCTCCTAATCAACATATTTCTCCCATGTATTTTCTTATGTTTAATATGGCAAGTTTTATAGACAAAAGCTTTTCCATTCTCGGTGTATTCTTAAGACTCTCCTACACAAGGTCTTTAATGAAAGAAAGAAAAAAAAAAGCTGTTGCTTTGTGACAAAGTCTTCCCCACATTGACTACAGTCATAATATGTCTCCTATGTAAATTTTCTGATGTTTAATGAGACCTGACTTTAGAAAATAGCGTGGTGCTGTGGTATAGCGGGTAAAGCCGTCACCTGCAGTGCCAGCATCCCATATGGGTGCCAGTTCGACACTTGGCTGTTCCACTTCTGATCCAGCTCTCTGCTATGGCCTGGGAAAGCAGTAGAAGATGGCCCAAGTCTTTGGCCCCTGCACCCCTATGGGAGACCCATGTGGGATACCGGCACTGCAGGTGGTGGCTTTACCTGCTATGCCACAGTGCCGGCCCCTAAATTTTCTAAGTTCTCTCAATGCTTAATGATTAAGACTTATTGCTGATGAGTTTTCCACTTTGAGAAAATTTAATGTTATTATAGATTTGCTCCTGCTTTCCATGGAGAAAGGATTTCCCATCTCTGTTAAGCTCAGCAGCATTCTTTACCTCATTGCTTCTGTTCTATTTAATTCAAACTTGATTTCAGAGTTTTCCTGTGATTTTGTCTTAAAGAAAAACAATGTTGACCTGCATGAACAATATTTTTAAAGGCATTATGTTCATAGCACTGTTCTACTCTCTATACAGTTTTGGCTGTACTAATAATATCCTAGAGAAAAGCATCAGATTTCTTGATTTCTAAGGAAATAACAATGAATGCCAAAGTATGAGTTGGCTCTTTACTGTCAGCTACGTAAGAATAAGAATCTTTAACAATGTTCTTTATCTCAATAAAAACTCCAGTCTAAGTGCAGACTGGGCTCTCAGGCCTTTGCTGAGATACCAACCTGGCGTGTCAGGTGCATTTCTTGTCATCAAACTTGGCTATCATTCTTACTGCAAGAGTGGGAGGGAGGGGGAGGAAGAAGGGTCTTTATCTCTTGGGAGCTGGTGAAAACACAATACAAGGGCGCCTCAAAAGTTCATGGAAAATGGAACTAAAAGATGTTTATTTTGGTGTACAAAAGTTTGTAATTCATGCAGGTTTTTTTTTTTATAATACACGTTTCCCATGCATTTTCTGAAGACACTTCATATGCATAGACTTCAAATTTTTTGCACTGAATTTACCTTTTAATTCCATTTTTCATAAAATTTGTGAAATATCTTATAGACATGAATTAAGCAGCAAACAAAGCTTAAATAATTAACAATGTATATAGATTTGGCTACTTTCTAACACCTTGTAAAACTTGCATAAATAGTATAAAACAAGAAAAATTAAAGTTAGATGAGAAAACATAAGTGTAAAGCAAACCTGATCCAAGATTAGGGGACCTGCATTTAGTTATCCTATAAATCTTTACTGAGTGCACATTATATTCTTGTTGTGGTGTTCAGGAATCTAACCTATTATTTATTTTCAATGTGTTTATATTCTAGTTAGGGAAAATAATAAGCAAGCAAAGAAGGAGGTAACTGCAAATTATGAAAAACAAAGGAGATGAAGGGAGGTAGAATAAAACATCATGGAGTAAAACACGGCTCCCTGATGAATTCAAAATGTCAGAATAAATGTGAAGAATTGAAGTTTACTGATTTTAAGTCAAGAGGAACTGCCTTTGACAGTGTGAACAGTGTAGAGATTTGGAATTTGGAGGAAGTAAGCAGACTTTTTATTTAAAGATTTATTTATTTATTTGAAAGAATTACACAGAGAAAGGAGAGGGAGAGGGAGAGGGAGAGGGAGAGAGAGAATCTTCCATCCGATGGTTCACTCCCCAGATGGCCGCAACAGCCGGAGCTGTGCTGATCTGAAGCCAGGAGCCAGGAGCTTCTTCCAGGTCTCCCACGCAGGTGCAGTGGCCCACAAGACCTTGGGCCATCTTCTACTGCTTTCCCAGGCCATAGCAGAGAGCTGGATTGGAAGAGGAGCAGCCAGAACTCAGACCCGGCACCCATATGGGATGCCAGCACTTCAGGCCAGGGCATTAACCCGCTGTGCCACAGCGCCAGCCCCCAGTAAGCAGACTTTTTGAAGCATATAAGTATTTAGATTTTTATTAGAAATTAGAGTGCAAAGTATGCAGTTAGAGACAAAAAAATTTGAAGAGTTTAAGTGGACATAGCAATGTGGAAAGTTATCAAGATGTAAATATTTATGGATAAAAGTTGAAATGTTATGGATAAAAGTTGAAATGACCGTGTTCAGAGAATGTAAAGATTGAAAAGATTAAGGCAAAAGGACCTAAGCTTTAGTAATTTAAATATTCAGATTTTGGCTTGGAAAAATCCATTAAAATGAACCAAACTGACTATACTGACCAGGAAAATAAACATACACTTATATTAAACAAATATCACAAAGAGACTAGACATTGTCCTGAAAAATGAATATAAGAGATCATGTAGGAAGACATGTGTTTATATCTTGAGGATAGACTTGAAGAACTGAAATAGATTTGTATTAGCTGGGCAAGTGTGGCTTTAAATTACAACCATTATCATGGTTGGTACTGTGGCATAGTGGGTGGAGCCACTGCCTGAAGTGCCAGCATCCCATATGGGCACTGGTCTATGGCCTGGGAAAGCAGTAGAAGATGGCCCAAGTCCTTGGGCCCCTACACCCGCGTGGGAGACCTGGAAGAAGCTCCTGGCTGCTGGTTTCAGGTCAGCGCAGCTCCAGCCGTTGCAGCCAGTTGGGGAGTGAACCAGCAGATGGAAGACCTCTCACTCTGCCTCTCCTTCTCTCGCTGTGTAACTCTTTCAAATAAATAAATCTTAAAAAAAAATTATAACCATTACCAGCACCCAATGTTTAAGCCTCAACCCCCCAACTCTACAGGGGCCTGGGGCCCTGAGTCTCCAGACCCATCTCTTCATTCTGTAACCAAAAGTCTGGGCCTTGTCAATGGTGGTAAATCACAATAATGAGGACAAAGTTTGAAGATAAAGGAAAGAAAGTTTAGTCCACTGGTGGATGAGGATAGCAGACTTTGTTCAATGACACACCTTACTATTCTGAGTCTCAACCACTGATTCACTCTGCATGGGCCCTCAATAACCATAAACCCCAACAGATGGGCTATTGGTCATTACTTTAAGATTCCTAATACATGACTGCCAAAGGTTCTGTTATTCCTCAGTGACTAAAAGAGAAGACATCCTCAGTACATGGCCCCTCATGGTCCCAGTACCATGTTCTGGTTCATTGACTTCCAAAGCCTTTTACTCTGGAGTTAGGTCCAGAACCCAACCTACCTGAACTTGATCCTTTGTAGACTCTACAAAGAATGAATAAAGTTGGAATCCCAGTTCAGAAAGACTTCAACCCTGATGCCCTTGCTCCACAGCCCTTCCTTTACCATCATGAGGACACTGAGGGCCAGGATTTGTGGTGGAGAAATGGTACTTCCAGGAGTCTGAGCTCTGGCCATGGGCCCTGCATTCTGCTGTGTTCCACAACACAACATCTATTATGACTGTTGTCATTCAGTGCTGTAAGAAAGTACTGAGTTAACTTCAGGGTACTGTAACTGTACTAACACATCTTCCTCTTTCTTTTCATTCCAACCTTATGATGTTATATGACTGCAACTATAAAGAAAGCACATCGTCCTCTCCTTTTCACATTCTAATTAACAAAAGCTAACTGCTCATCCTGTGACTTATTAGAATGCTTATTCAACAGATGCTGCCCTAAGAATTTCAGGGGATAACCTCAGGTAAGGAAGGAAATTATGATTATCAGCCAAAAACAACCAACTTGATATCAAGACGCTTCCATCTAAGTAACGTCAGGATGACTAGCAGAACCAATCCTAGAAACCCGACAATCTCTTCCAGCCCCTATTTCTCCTTTAAAAGTTCTGCTAACTTGCAAATTAGGAAAAGTACTTCTGAAACTGAGGAGGTTGCTTTTCCCTGAAGACACACCCTCTTGAATAAACCTATTTCCTTGCATCAACTCTCATCTCAGGTTAACTGGCAGTCCAGTGCCAAGCAGCCCAGGTCTGATTTTAAGCAGTCAGTACCTCTATCACTGTGATAACTGCAGAAGTTATCAAGAGACATAAAACCTTCAGTAGGCTGAGCAAAATATCTCTGCATGCTCTACGCACATGCTGAGCCACCAGGAGCGAGCACTACACACAGGCGTCTCAGAGTAGGTCTGGTCTCCATTCAGCAGAAAATACAAACTCTTGGCTCAGGAAGGAACTGCTAAGTGCCCCAGGAGGACCTCTAGAAAACTAAGTTTGTAAAAGGTGAAATGTTTGAAGGGGCGTGGAAGGCAGCCGTCAGAGTGGACAAAAGCAGAGGACATTTCCACTGCCCTTCCGGGGATGGGACAGAAAATGAATCATGCTCAGTTAGCTGAGAACTGTCTTGAAGCCAACACTGGGGCATTCCATGAAGCCCACTGCCATGTTATCTATAATAGGGAGAAAGGGATGAGCCTTCAAATAAAATCAAATATTTCTCCCAAGACACGTGAAGGTGAAAAGGGAGCATATGAAATAACAGGCAACTAAGCAATACAAGTAGCACCTGGCAAACTGCATTGAAGTGCTAGCTATGGCTTTTATGAAGGGAAGAGAGTGAACTAGTAAGATGATGTAAGTTTTTACTGTTACTACTTTGCATTTTATTTGAAGAGCAGGGACATAGAGGAGACTATCTTCCATTTGTTGGTTCACTCATCAAAGACCTGCAACATTCAGGGCTGGACAGGAGAATGGAACTCCATCTGGGTCTCCCACATGGACGGCAAGGACTTAAGTACTTCAGCCATCATCTGCTGCCTCAGCATGTGCATCACTAAAAAGCTACATTAGGACTTGAGCCAGGCACTATGAGATGGGGCATTCCAAATTGCAGCTTACAACAGCACTTTGTGAAATGCTTCCCAGTGTTCACTTTTTAAATTGTCAATCCAATTAAAGTTTTATTCACTTATTTTTTTTTTACCTAGGATGCCAACCTCTGAAAGATCTGGTCTTCAAGCTGGTCACAGGCAGCCCATTAGGAGTTCTTGACTGAAGAGTTCAGGGAGCAAGATGCTATGGTGAACATGAGGACAAGCAGAGAGAAGCGGAAGTCTGGGTTGAAGAGTCCAATTCTTATTCTTCACTAGGGAACACCTGTCCTGAATTCATCTGGCTACAGACTATCATGTTGGATGTTTTGCTCTCCAGTGAAAACTAGTATCTACACGCTCCTAATAAAGTGAAGATACACCATACATTTGTGTTGTAGTGGATTATCCAATATCTCATAGCAAGAGATTCAATTGGAATCACCACTTCAGGCCACATTTTCAGTTTTTTCTCCTTCTTAACAGGACTATTTCTTTCTTTCTTTTTTTTTTAAAGATTTATTTACCTGAAAGAGTTATATAGAAAGAGGAGAGGCAGAGAGAGAGAGAGAGAGAGAGAGAGAGAGAGAGAGAGAGAGAAAGGTCTTCCATCCAATGGTTCACTCCCCAATTGGCCGCAATTGCCGGAGCTGCACCAATCTGATGCCAGGAGCCTGGAGCCCCCTCTGGATCTCCCATGCGGGTGCAGGGGCCCAAGGAACTGGGACATCCTCTACAGCTTTCCCAGGCCATGACAGAAAGCTGGAGTGGAAGTGGAGCAGCTGGTTCTCAAACTGGTGCCCACATAGGATGCCAGTGCCTAAGGCCAGAGTGTTAAGCTGCTGCGCCACAGAAGCCAGCCCCAGCAGGACTATTTCTAAGCTGGATATATATTTTTATTTTTTAGAGAAAATGAGACAGAGAGCTCTGAACTGCTGGTTCACTCCCCAGCTGCTGACAACAGCCAGGAATGAACCAAGCTGACTATGAAAGCAGAGAACTCATCCAGTTCTCTCATGTGGGTGGTAGGGATCCAACTACTTGAGCCATCACTGTTGCCTTGCAGGATCTGTATTAGCAAAAACTGGAATCAGGAGCCACAGTCAGGCATCAAACCCAGGTGCTTCAGTGTGGGACCCAGGAAGCCTAATCAGCATTTTACCCACTGGGCTAAACACCCATCCCTTTTACATCGACAGAAGCCAGTCTATTCAGGATGTCTTAAAAATTGATTCTGAATTTCTTACAATTTGTTTGCACTAGCTCCTTTCTTTCACTGACAAAACTTTATATCCATTCATGTGCCTTCAATAATCTTTCAAATCTACATACAATTTACTTTTTGCTATGTGCTGAAGATATAAAATTATTTACAAAGTCTCAAGGATTTATAATCTAGGAACACAAATATGAGCATTTTAAAAAAAGTATTCATACCCTGTTTTATGTAAGTAAAACTGAGTCCTTTCCCCTCTCCAACTCCAAATGATATGCTCCTTGAAGGAGAAATTAGATATACTTTGATCTTTAGAACACATGCCCTTTTCAACTAATATTGATAAATAATGTGTGTGTGTGTGTTTCCTTTGACTACCTGTGCTGGAGGCTAAAACTGTTGTGCACATATAATCCAGACTACACTTATACATACACATACACACACACACACACACACACACACACACAGCTTTGATAACATTAAGGACTTTTCATTTTGATCCTTATTGTCAAAATATCTACAGTTCCTAGAATAGCACAATATAGGAAATACATACCACATTTCAGAGTGGTATGTATGCCAATAATAAGACAAACCATAGGGTTAGAATGCAAACTACTTTCTAGGGCAGGGGTATGGCTATTTGATTACTTATGAGTTTTGAACTTCATTCCCCTGGGGTGATAAAGTTAAATATGCTAAATATCTAAATATGCTATGTAACATTATTCAATGAAATATTTTAATTTTCTTTTGAAGGACTTCAGTAGTCAAATAATTAAATAAGATTATAAACAAATTTAAGAGTTAATTATATAAAGATCCTGAATGAGAAGACTCATGGCAAAGATTTTAAAGGATACACTGGGTTACAACTTTAACCAGTAAAGTGCAACACAGACTACTTACTTTTAATTAAGGAATCACTGACATCAACTAAGAGCTTGATTCAAGATATATTACCTTAAAATGCACTTCATGTATTATTTAAAGTATAATGTTAGACTTGTGACAGAAATTGCTAAAATCTCTTTCCTTTTTACAGCATTAATTTGCTTCATGTGCTCCTGATATTTTGAAGATGTTCCAGTTAGTGTGGTTCACTATTGTTTCTATATAATTTCTTCTGACAATTCATGGGACAGAATCTACCATTGGCAACCCTGTCACGTTCACTGTCTTCAAAGATCTTCCAGTGGTTTGTCTCCTATACAAACTGATACCTACCGAGGTCTTATTTCTGGGCCAGGACTTTTCCACAGTTATTGTATTTCATTCAACTATGAGCTCACTGATGATCTGTGATCTATGACCATTGATAGGATCTATCCTCCCATAATAGATTTTCCAACTCTGTGCATTTATAGGATTTTTTTTCATTTAATATATACACACTTAGCCATATAATGAGCTAGGTTTTACTCAAGAGTTTTCAACCTTGAATGTTTCAGTTTATTCCTGTGTAGTTTTTGTGACATAAAGTATGACGTAATGGATCACTGAAAGCACTACCATATTCACTGCATTCATAAGGTTTCTCTTCTGTGCAAATTCTATCCTTCACAGAGGCTGAACATCTGGCAACTGGCTGGCCCACAATGGCTACATTGCTATCTGCCTGGAACTCACTGCTGTTTAATAAAGTCTGAGGTGCCCCAGAAGGCATGTGCACAGTCCCCATGTTAGCAGAGTTTTTCTCCTGTATAAAATCATCTGTCTGTGATGAGCTGTGACTTTTTGAGGAAGGATTTTCTAACTTGACTGAACCTACACGCTTCTCTCTTGCATGCAGCATTCCCTTATGATACACGAGGCATGACAAATGGGAGAAAGCCTTCCCACAATCAGAGCATCCGTATGGTCTCTCTCCTGTGTGAGTTCTGCGGTGTCTGTTGAGGCATGACTTATCTCTGAAAGCTTTCCCACAGTCGCCACATTTGTAAGGTTTTTCTCCCGTGTGAATTCTCTGATGGTTAATGAGACCTGACTTGTGTGAGCAGGATTTTCCACATTCAGGACACACAAAAGGCGTCTTTCCTGTGTGAAATCTCTGATGTGATATTAGGCATGTCTTCTGGCTAAAGCCCTTCCCACAGTCGCTGCATACATAGGGTTTCTCTCCAGTATGAGTTCGCTGATGTATAAGGAGATTGCCCTTCTGAATGAAGCCTTTCCCACAGTCACTGCATACGTAAGGCTTCTCTCCAGTGTGAGTTCGCTGGTGTACAACCAGATTGCCTTTCTGAATGAAGGCTTTTCCGCAGTCACTGCATATGTACGACTTTTCTCCTGTATGCGTTTTCTGATGTGCATTGAGCTGCGATTTCCAGCGGAATGCTTTGTCACACTCAGTGCAGTCATAGGGTTTTTCTCCCGTGTGAGTTCTCTGATGCTCAATGAGCCTGGACTTTCTGGAGAATGCTTTCTCACACAGACTACATCCGTGAGGCTTCTCTCCTGTATGAACCCTCTGATGGTTGATGAGCCGAGACTTCTTGATGAAGCCTTTTCCACAGTCACTGCATACATAGGGCTTCTCTCCTGTATGCGTTTTCTGATGTGCGATAAACTGCGATTTCCAGCGGAAGGCTCTGTCACATTCAGCACATTCATACCGCTTGTCTCCTACATGCGTTTTCTGGTGTTCAGCGAGCCGGGACTTTCTGGAAAAGGCTTTCCCACATATACTGCACCTATGAGGTTTCTCTCCTGAGTGAACTCTCTGATGATCAATGAGGCGAGACTTCTTGAGGAAGGCCTTTCCACATTCGTTGCACACTTGGGGTTTCTCTCTCTTTTGAGTTCTCTGAGGCTTAATGAATTGTGCATTTGTATTCACAGAATTTCCATATTTGGGAAGTTTCTTTTCAGCAAAAAATCGTTGATGCTCAGCGTGGAGGAAGGATTTCTTGTCTCCACTTACCCCCCCAAGATTTTTTACTTTACAGCTCCTGTTATGGTTCACTAAGCTTAAATTTGATTTCACTGTTTTTCCATTCAAGTCAAACACAACATGATTTTGCCTCAAAGGGATACTACTTTTCCTCTGATTAATGCTCTTTCCAAATTCACTAAGTTCATGGTATTGTTCCACTCTTTTCAGACACCTTTGGTTTTTCAAATGCACCGACAGATGATCATTGACTGTCTTGATTTCTAGGAAAGAAGAGAACAGTAAGTCATTCCATGTGCATGGAAAAGACTAAAACTATTCCATAAACAGCTCTGTGTAGACTGGTTCATAATTGACAATACTAATACCTCAGTTTAAAAAGACTCCAAGTATATAAGGTTGCTGTCACTTGGACAAGGGTAAAACAATTTAAACAAAGAAAAGGTGAAAGTAGTCAATGTAGAAATAATGTTAGGTAACTCAAAATAAATAAATACAGATTTAGCTTTCTAAATATGATCACATAAAGTACTATGAAATAATAAAGTCAAATTAAGTTACATTACCACTGGACTACAGAAATTGGAGAGATATTTGTTTTAAAAGGCTGAGGATGGGGCTAGTGCTGTGGCACAGTGGATTAAAGCCCTGGCCTACAGCACCAGCATCCTTTATGGGCACCAGTTCGAGTCCTAGCTCCTCCACTTCCCATCCAGCTCTCTGCTATGGCCTGGGAAAGCAGCAGAAGACAGCCTGAGTCCTTGGGCCCCTGCACCCACATGGGAGACCCAGAAGATGCTCCTGGCTCCTGGCTTCGGATCAGCTCAGCTCTGGCCACTGCGGTCATTTGGGGAGTGAACCAGCAGATGGGAGACCTCTGTCTCTCTCTGCCTCTGCCTGTCTGTAACTCTGCCTTTCAAATAAATAAGTAAATCTTAAAAAAAAAAAAAAAGGCATGATGCATTCGCACATCCAAAGTCCTTATTAAATTATGACTATGTATTAAACATTGTGCCAGTGATGATGATATAAAAACATATTCCTTTTTTTTTCTATGAGCATACATTCTTTAGTTAAGGGAAATCGAATAGAGAAGCAATGATATAGACAGTAGGTACAAATTGTGAAAAATAATTTGTGGAAACAATGGAGAGGGTGGTGTAAGAAATCAGGATATAATTTGGAGAAAGACAAGGCTTACTCATAGTTTCAATACAGAAAGATTACTAAAAATAAGGAATTAGGATCATTCTTAATTATCTGCATTGAACCACCAGATACAGTAGTGCCTTTTGATAAGATGGGAAGTAACACTGAGGTTTCTGTTGGGTAAAATCAAGTTAGCATTTAAAAAATTTTTTTTAAGATTTATTTATTTATTTGCAAGTCAGTTACACAGAGAAAGGAGAAGCAAAGAGAAAGAGAGAGAGAGAAAGAGAGAGACAGGTCTTCCATCTGATGGTTCACTCCTCAACTGGCCACAACAGCCAGAACTGCACCAATCTAAAGCCAGGAGCCAGGAGCTTCTTCCAGGTCTCCCATGCAGGTGCAGGGGCCCAAGGACTTGGGCCATCTTCTGCTGTTTTCCCAGGCCATAGCAGAGAGATGGATCGGAAATGGAGCAGCTAGGACTAGAACCAGCACCCATATGGGATGCCAGTGCTTCAGGCCAGGGTATTAACCCGCTGCACCACAGCGCTGGCCCCCAAGTTAGCATTTTAAACTGTATCAACTATGAGATGAGTTTTAAATATTCAAGTACAAACATGAAAAATCCAGTTGGATACATAAAATTTGAGAAACATCTAGAATAGAGATACCAAGATGGAAACCATCACTCTCTATATATTATTTAAGGACAGAGGGCTGGATAGGAATGTATTTGGAAACTACATAGATTCAAACAAGATCAAAGTATGGGGCTAAGTTTATGATTATTGCAATATTTAGATATTTAAAAAAGATTTATTGATTGATTTGAAATGCAGAGTCACAGAAAGAAAGAGAGAGACAGAGAGAAAGAGATCTTTCATCTGCTGGTTCACTTCCCAAGCAGCTGAAATGGCCAGGGCTGGGATAGGATAAAGCCAGGAGCCAGGAACTCTATCCAGGTCTTCCATGTAGGTGCAGGGGCCCAAAGACTTGGGCTATCTTCTACTGCTTTCCCAGATATATAAGTGGAACAGTCTGGACTCGAACTGGCACCCATATGGGACATGGCATTGCAGGGATCAGCTTAAGCTCCTATGTCACAACACTGGCCCCAATATTTAGATTTTGATTTAGAAAAGCCCAAACTACCAATCAGGGAAATAAGCAAATATATGTATTAGAAACTATTATCCCAAAGAGTTGAGTCAGAATTGTAAACTTAGCACTTGATTTTAAGATAAATGATAGATTTTGGGGAGTCTATCTTATTCCTCTAGTTTGTTACCTTTCATTCTGTATACCCCCATCAAACTTAAATCTCCCAAAGCATCAGTATCCTGTTTAGAGTAAAACTTCTGTAGTCAATATTCTATCTTTGAAATTGTTGTGAAACATTTTCCTACATCAAACAGAAGGAGAAAAATTTCACAGAAATTCTGGTCTTTTCCAGAATCAGACACTTTGTTGTACTGCATAGGGGACTGTCACCTCTTCCAGACACATCCTGTAGTCATATGCTCTAATATTCAAATTATTTGTTTTAACGTCTCCTATATGATGATTCCCATTGTCTTTCAAAATGTTATATAAAATGTCTCAGCTGCCATCAGTTAAGAAGTTCTAAAGGGTCACACTCAAATTCCAGAACAAGACTCTCTCTAGCGTATTTTCCATTATTCTTAGAAATACTGAGTGTGCTTTACTGTTGCTACACCCCTGCCACCCAGTTAGAAGTAAGCTTATATACCCAGTAATGATATAAAATAAACAACCTCACCATTCTACCTCAATTACACACAAAAGTCCACACAAGACAGCCTGCAAATAAAAACTTTACCATGATGATTCCATTTATCCATGTTCACACTTGACCAGTTTCCTAAAAAATACCTCCAAACCTTCCCATGGCCAGATTCAGGATAGTCCCTTCACAGTTACTCACACAGCCTTGTGAACCTCCAACTTCACACCTTCAATAGCTCTGTTTTAAACTAGCTTTATTGTAACATTACTAATGTATAAAGACTATTTATTTTCAAGGTATACAATTCGATGTTTTTTCTTAAAGATTTATGTAGGGCCAGTGTTGTGGCACAGCATGTTGGGCCATTGCCTGTGACATCAGCATCCGATATGGGTCCTGGTTCGAGTCCCAGATGCTCCACATCCAATCCAGCTCTCTGTTATTGGCCTGGGAAAAGCGGTAGAATGGCCCAAGTGGGCCCCTGCACCCATGTGGGCTATCTGGAAGAAGCTCCTGGCTTGGATATGGTCCAACTCCAGATGTTGCAGCCATTTGGGGAGTGCCCAGGTAGATGGAAGATCTCTATCTGTCTTTCTCTTCCTCTCTCTGTAACTCTTTCAAATAAATAAAATAAATCTTTTTTAGAAAATCAAAGGAATTTTAAAATTTTAAAAATAAATTTTAAAAAATCAAATTTGAATTTTTAATGAAGGAAGTATCAGGGAAGCTCAAAGGTGTGCAGTGGCCAGAACAGAGTCAAGGAGTTGTCATGGAAACAGCACACACATGTAAGTGAGAAAACAATGGAGATATCTACCTGAGATCTCCACAGAAACGAAGAGCTTGAGTCATTTAAATGAACAAAACTTTTAAAGGCTGTGAGAACACAGCAAAAATGAAAACAGAACTTTCAGAGGGCCTCAGAGTAGCGAATAAAGAGAAGCTAAGAAAGCAGATATATCGTGTGCAGCGACAGATTAGGTTACCATGGGGGCTAGAATCAGATGGGGGTGGATGTTGGGAAGGAAAACCAACATTACCCAAAAGGACAGAAAGTGCAGTGGTCAGAAAACTGTGGAAATCAAAGATCTCTTTTTGGAGAGAGGCCTGGTAGGCAAAATTTCGTAACAAGGAAGAAGAAGGAACAGGTGGTGATTTTTTTTTTTTTTTTAATTTTTTGACAGGCAGAGTTAGACAGTGAGAGAGACAGACAGAGAGAAAGGTCTTCCTCCCTTTGGTTCACCCCCCCAGTGGCCGCTACGGCCAGCATGTTGTGGCTGCCACACTGCGCTGATCTGAGGCCAGGAGCCAGGTGCCTCTCCTGGTCTCCTATGAGGGTGCAGGGCCCAAGGACCTGGGCCATCCTCCACTGCACTCCCGGGCCACAGCAGAGAGCTGGCCTGGAAGAGGGGCAACCAGGACAGAATCTGACGCCCTAACCAGGATTAGAACCTGGGGTGCCGGCAACGCAGGTGGAGGATTAGCCTAGTGAGCCGCGGCGCCGGCCAGGTGGTGATATTCTGATGGTAGAAGAATGTTGACATTTAAGAACTCTAAAAACAAACAAACAAAAAGACCTAGATGAAATCCAACTGATCAGATCCAACTAGAGAGAAAGGAGACTATGTTTCTCTAAACATCTGCCCTTTGGCTACTGAGAGCTCTTGGAAGGAGAGGGATCCACAGGGGCTCTGCTCACAAATGCGTGGAGATCCTCACAGCTGCGACACCTCTGAACGACTAGAATATGACTTACCCAGCCGCCCTCCCTGACGGTTCTCACTCACTCACCTCGGCGGATGTGACTGTGGATATCATCTTCAACTGTCCACGGTTCTCCTCGTTCCAACTTGGAGAGTGCATCTGGCTTGCTGGCTTGATATCCTGTTCATGGAAAATGACAGAAGAAAGATCACTGACTTGGGCTATGGTCAGGCGGGGGAGAAGTTCTGTTTTGGGAACTGCGTAACTTCTACGTCTGCAAAGCAAAGGCCGTCCTCTGATAAAGGAGCACATTACACTCTCTTCTCCAGGACCACAGAGGGGACTGAGAAGCTATGACTTCCGAGGACCAGCGGCCCTCTAGAGACTTCAGATGCTTAGAAAGGAAAGGCCTCTGGCTGGGCACCCTCTGAGCAGCACGGGGCAGCTGTCCTCACCCACAGCCACCAGGCTGCTGTAGTTCTCCAGCATCACGTCCCGGTACAGGGCCTTCTGGGCGGGGCTCAGGAGCTGCCACTCCTCCCAGGTGAACTCCACAGCCACGTCCTCCAGTGTCAGCAATTCCTGTAAAGAAAGTCTTCTGAATATGACACAGCTCCCTTTACCCTTTACTGATGTGGAAGAAGGTGAAGAATGCCGTTCTGCTTATTTTCACCATAGAGGCCGCATCTGTGCGACTAAGTGTTGTGTTGTTTTTTTTTTTTTTTTTTTTTAAGATTTATTTATTTATTTGAAGGCAGAGTTACAAAGAGGCAGAGGCAGCAAGAAAGAGAGAGAGAGGTCTTCCATTCACTGGTTCACTCCCGAGATGGCTGCAATGGCCAGAGCTGTGCTGATCTGAAGCGAGGAGCCAGGAGCCAAGAGCTTCTTCCAGGTCTCCCACGTGGGTGCAGGGGCCCAAGTACTTGCGCCATTGTCTACTGCTTTCCCAGAGCGCTGGATTGGAAGTGGAGCAGCCAGGACTTGAACCAGCGCCCATCTTTGTCAAGTACTAAATATATTACAGTGATATCCAGATAAATAAAGAATATTCCTACAACACCATAAATTTCCATAGCCAATATTAGAATTAACCCATGGACAAACTGCAGAGAGTATAATTGCAAGATACTATTTTAATATATTTTACATATTAGGGATAAAAAAAATTTCTAAATCACATCCAAACAAGGGACTATTTAATATTACTAAGACTAAGATACTACGTATTGTTACTCAAAAACATATGCATATAGTTTTACAATTAGTTACATGTACATTATCGGTGTCTTAACGGTTATACACTGAAAAATAATTAGTAAACTGGAAGGTAGATCTGAAGAAACTAGTCAAAATGAAGCACAAGGACAAAACGATAAAATAAAAGATTAATAAACGTGGAAGACAGCTGGGGTCTGGCATTTACTAGTTTAGTGTATGAAATAGAAAACAGAATAATGAGCGTATTATCTAGCACCTAGCGGCTAAGGGGCAGGCATTGATGATATACAGTGGGTTAAGGTGCAGCTTGGGAAACCCACATCTCATACTGGAGTGGTGGTTCAAGTCACAGCCGCTCCACTTCTAATCTAGCTCACCACTAATGCACTTGGGAAGGCAGCAGAAGACGGCCCAAGTGCTTAGGTGCTTGTCACCTACTTGAGAGACTTGGATGGAATTCTGGGCTCCTGAGTTCTACCACTGTTATTCACTTTTCAAATCAATCAATTAATCTTAAAAAAAAAAAAAAAACCTAAGGACTAAGACATCTGCATTGTAAGTATATATATATGTGTGTGTGTATATATATATATATATATATACATATATATATATACACACACATAGATACCATGGAAATCACATGTATGAAAGGCATTCAGAAAGTTCAGGGAAAATGCACACTATGTAAAAATTATAAATGTATCTCAACATACTTTTACACTAAAACAAACTTATCTTTTAATTTTTCTTTTAAGTACACACACACACACCCATATATGAGTTATCTTCAAAGAGTTCACAGAAAAAATGGGGCAGAAATTTGATGCAGTGGTTATGCTGCTACCTGAGGAGACCTGAATCCACTATTGGTGTGCATGGTTCCAGTGCCAACTCTGCTTCCAGTCCCAGCTCCCTGCCAGTGCTCACCTTGGGAGGCAGCAGATGACAGCTCATGTACTTGGGTCCCTTCCACCCATGTGGTAAACCTGGAATGGATTCCAGACTCCTGGCTCTGGCCTAGTCCAACCCCAGTTATTGCAGGCATTTGAGGAGTAAACCAGCAGATGGAAGATTTCTTACTCTCTCTGCCTTTCAAATACAATGAAAATTAAAAAAAAAATTTTTTTTAATATTTATTTGTATTTATTTGTTTGAAAGGCAGAGATAGAGAGAGAGGGAGAGATAGAGAAAGAGATCTTCCACCCACTGGCTCACTCCCCAAATGGCCAGGCCAAAGCCAGGAGCCTCAAACTTCATTTGGGTCTCCCACAAGGGTGGCATGGGCCCAAGCACATAGGTCATCCACCACTGCTTTCCCAGGTGCACTAGTTGAGAACTGGATTGGAAGTGGAGCAGCCATGATTTGAACTAGCACTCTTATGGGATGCCAGCATCACAACCAACCAGTGCACCAACGTGGTTAAACTCCCAGGAACCCAGTTCTTCTGGGATGGACTAAGTAGATGGTATCATCAATTACAAAAGTGTCTTGAACTTGATCAAGCTTATGTCGAGAGACAGTTTGCATTTTTTGATTTTTGTTTTTAAATTCCATTTCCATGAAATTTTTGAAGTACCTTCATATACATACACACTCACATACATATGCACACAAATACGTTTTTAGATGCATACACAGATGCAAATTTTTTTTCACTCTATATATTTTGTAATCTTTGGACAAGTTTTTTTTTTTTAAACCTTGAAAATGTATCCATGCACATGTACACGATTGATTTTAAAAAGGTAATAAAAAAGAGTAGTAGGTAATAACTGACTTTGGATATGGAGTGTTTGTGGTCTTTCATTGGGGAAGTCAAAAACAAACCCTTTGGATCCCACCAATTTGTGCCATTACCAGAAAACACTACTTTCAACGCCATACTGCTAAATCTGTACTCAAATACCAGTTCAGTCATCATCCATATAGGATCTTAGGGAGTCATGCAATTTTATACCTTCGGAGGTCATTTACATTTCACTTCTCGATCAGACCTAACAACCAAAAGGCTGCATTTATGAGTCACCTTGAAATGGCTCCATGAAGAACTGTATCAGTCCAGCCATTTGGCCTAGCAGTTAACATGCCCATGTCCCATACAGAAGTACCTGGGTTCAATACCCGCCTCTGGGTCCTGAATCCAGTTTCCTGCTAATGCAGACCCTGGGAGGTAGTGGTGATGGCTCAGGTGAGATGGGGTTCCTTCCACTCATGTGGGAGACCTGGGTTTAATTCCTGGCTCTGGGCTTTGGCCTTGGCCCAGTCCCAGCCTAGCTATTGAGGGCATCAGGGGAGTGGAGTGAACCAGCAGATGGGAGCTCTCTCTCTATCACAAATTAAAAAAAAAAAATATATATATATATCTATTGAGTTCTCTTGGTCTTTTTCCAAAAGGATCTTGAGGACCCTTGCTTTGACACTTATGAGAAAGCTGCAGGTAAAGACACCATGTATCACGTTACCTCTAGGAAAGAGCCAGGATAGAGTGACACCTCTCAGGAACTGGTCTGCTTGCTCCTCAGAGTCAGTGCATAATCAGGGACCACCATGATTCTTTGGCTATCTGTCAGGCATTAGACAGACAGATAGCTGATACAACCCACAGGAGGCTCCAGTCACCCATTATATTTCAACTTAGTGTGAATTCTACTGTGCTATTTTCATTCAGAATAGTTTTCCTCATACCAACCAATACTCCCAATTCTCCAACCTCCACTGAATATCCACTGATTTAATTCTGACACCAACTCAAGGAGTTTGCACAGGCCCTTAGGCTACAGGTTCAGTCCCACAAGATCAGATATTAGTCTCAAGTGTCAGGTCCCAAAAATTACCCACACTTCTGCCCAACATAACTACAAATCTGAAGGGTTCTCATGGTCTATACCTCCAAGGTTTAGTAATTCACTAGAACAGCTCAAGGAACTCAGGAAAATACTTCCTGGTTTCCTGTAAAGGATACAAACCAGGGTCAGCCAAGTGGAAGAGACACATACAGCACGGCATGGGCAGTGGGGATAGCAGAGTTTCTGTTCTCTGTCCCAGCACCTCGATTTGGTCACCAACCCAAAAGTTCTCCAAATCTCTGTTAAGTTTTTTTTTTTTTTTTGCAGGGGAGGTTTCATTATGTAGGCGTAACTGAGGAAATTACTGGCCACTGATGGTCACTCAACATCTTCACCATCCAAAGGTTGGTGATGATGGGGTCAGTGCTGTGGCGCAGCGGGTTAACACCCTGGCCTGAAGCACCGGCATCCCATAAGGGTGCTGGTTCGAGGCCTGGCTGCTCCACTTCCCATCCAGCTCTCTGCTATGGCCTGGGAAAGCAGTAGAAGATGGCCCAAGTCCTTGGGCCCCTGCACCCACATAGAAGACCCGGAAGAAGCTCCTGGCTCCTGACTGGCCCAGCTCCAGCTGTTGTGGCCAACTGGGGAGTGAACCAGCGGATGGAAGACCTTTCTCTCTCTGCCTCCCCTCTCTCTGTGTGTGTAACTCTGACTTTCAAATAAATATATAAATCTTTAAAAAAAAAAAAAAAAGGTTGGTGATGGGCTGAAAATCAACACTTCTAATCAAGCATCCATCCTGAGGGCTGCAAGAGTCACCTCATTACAACAGAAGAGGCTTCCATCACCCTTACCACTCAGGAAATTCCACTAGTTTTAGGGGCTTGCACCAGGAACTGGAGACAAAGACCAGGTATCTTCTTATGATACCACTATGAATATCTAAGTATTCATGATGCTACTTTGCCTTGCTGTCGAAGTAAAAGTTTAACTTTACCTGTGTACAAACATTTACCACCTTAGACTTCCCCACTTAATTCAAGTTGACCTTTAAAATCATCTAGGAATCTATTATGGAATGAAGGAAGGAAAGAATAAAACAAACTAAAAGGTACCTGAGTCTTTATCATTTTCTTGTTTGGGGAAATGGACAGTAATGAGGATGCTCTGTCTTTAGTGCCTTTTTGAACTGCTCTAAATTTCTGGACAGAAATCTTAGTCTCCGGTCAATGGTGTCTCCATAAATGATGACCTCTGGGTCCTGGAACCTCCTCCTCACATAATTTCATGTGTGTTTTTCCTGGATCCAGGGCCTGTGGACTGAAGAGCAAGTTCACTTTGAATACATATTCCCTCCAAGCTCAGCTGCTGTCGCTGCTGCTGCGTACTCACCTTAACTCGGGGCCGCTTCCAATTACCCTTTATTTGGGGCCCCAGAAACTTTGACACCCTGGGGCAACAGAACACAAGATGCTCAATGTACGGGATAAGTCTTTCCTCTGTGAAATGGAAGCACGACGACTGAAGGGAGAGACAGAACAGCACACTGCTGCTATAACACTAAGGGACTTCTCAGATCAGATTTTAGAAAGAGGACAGAGAAGTTAACAGCTGGACATTTATATCCTCAAAGCCACGTGTGCCTGTGCATCTGTTCAACAGTTATACATCTGACATGCTGGCACAACTCAGTCTGAAGACAAATGTGCTAAGCAAAGCACAGGCACTGTCTTATTTTGTTTCTCACTACTGCCTACTTCATTACAGCCTTATAAGCTATAAATCATTATTTCCAATTTCAATATTAACCTAAGGCTTAAGCTAAAGTATCTTGTCCAAGAAGACACAGTATATGGCAGAGCTAGAATCTGAATCCATGGCTGCCTATCATCCAGAACAGGAGTGACCTTAGCACTCCAGTCTCTTGGCCATATATCTTCATAATAAGACCTGTGCTCTTGGTTACTACCTTGAGGGAGTTTAATTCCCATTTCATTACATGGAGTATGGTCACGCAGTCACATACACATAATAGAACTTCTTGAATCAACTCTGAACAACGACACACGTACTAATTCTTCCAAAAAGACAATTGGAGTATATGCATGTCACATCTCTGGCCTGAAAGTAATGAGTCTAAGTCATCAGCCAGGGCTGGCACTGTGGCGTAGCAGGCTAAGACTCTGCCTGAGATGACAGCATCCCAAATGGATGCTAGTTCAAGCCCTAGCTGTTCCTCTTTGGATATGGCTCTCTGCTTATGGCTTGGAAAAGCAGTGGAAGATAGCCCAAGTGCCCTGCACCCGTGTCAGAGACCTGCAGGAAGCTTCTGGCTCCTGGCTTTTTATCAGCTCAGCTCAGCTCTGGCCATTGCAGTCATTTGGGGAGTGAACTGGCAGATGGAGGATCTTTGTCTCTGTCTCTCCCTCTCTCTGTCTGTAACTCCATTTCTCAAATAAAATCTTAAGTCAGCAGCCCTGGAAGCTTTCTATAGGTCAAGTTCTAGTGCCCCAGTGAAAAACTCAAGGAAGAGTATCAAATTAATGGAATTATCTTGAGCATTCCTTTTACCCTACCTAAGTAGCAACACTGTGGCAAGTACCATCTCCTGCAGCCTCCAAACCCAGGGGGCTTGCACTTCCATCTCCTCTAACCCATGACAGCCTATGCCCTCCTCCCTCTTCAACCCCAAAAGCACTTCACTGAGGCAGCTGACCTTTCAGACTTTTCTTCTTGGAATTCCCCCAATGAAAAGGTGCACGGCTCAAATGACACAACACTTATGGGCAGGAGGCAGTGGTGGAACATTTCAGAGGCATCCAGGGTACGCACTTCAAATGGCAGAGTCCTTTCCTATCAGCCTCCAAAGCCCTTCACACAGGCTAAGGGAGGGATTCAGTCTCATTTTTCACCCTTAAGAACATTCTGTGTGATACAATCATTCCTGCTGATTCTAGTGCCTAGGTCCTTTCATGGGGGGGGGGGGGTATTGTTCTGGAAAATACATGTGTGCATGAGCATAGAAAGCTATAAAGATTTTCACAAATTCTAAAAAATTACCAGATAGGCTGCGATCACTAATGATTATTATATGAAAGAACAAATAAAAAAGGAAAAGTCAATAGAATCAAAATATATAAAATAAGATTCTTTATGGATACATACACATTTAGTAAAACATGCATCACATGAAACAAGTTCAAGATTGTGCATATCCCTGAGGAAGAAAGACGAAGGATCTGCAGATGTCACCTAAGCTGCACTTGCATCTACTTATTTCTTTTAAAAAAAATAACAAAAACCAAAATCATGTACACTGAATGCAAATATAATGCAAAGCAAAACAAAACCTTTGTCAGAACTCTATAAACAGTCAAAGGTTTACAGCAACAGAGCGAACACTGAATCAAGAAAACACAACTTAAACATGGCAGGAAAGCTCTGTGCTTTTTTGTTTGTTCTCACTGACCTCCGCTCCATGTGCTGTGCAGCTCAGTGGCGGTCTGAAAGACTGAAGCCATCACTCCCAATGTGGGACCTGGATCCAGGTCCTGGAGGAAGCAGGGAAGACATTATTCCAAAGCACTCTGCATGTCTACTCTGTGAGCTACCTGAAATCTCTGTGCAACGTGCTGATTCCTATTTCACCTACTTTGGAACTCACTCAGGATGGAAAAGTGGCAGGCATTTCACAAAAACAGAACCACCTACAGATGCCTGGGGCCAAAGACTATTACTGAGGAACAGCCAAAAGGTTGTGAGTAAAAGCTAGAAAGTTTCTTATGGAAATTAGACCATTCAAAAGCACTTGTGTATACTGGGGAATTAATAAAACTACATGTACACAGGGCTGGAAATCTGCTCAGAAAACCCTAAGCTGATTTTTAGGGTCAGTGCAAATAGGAAGTGATACGTAAGGCAGAGTGAGGGACAGACTGGCTAAATCATTAAAAAGAGTTCCCTGGGGCCAGCACTATGGTATAGCAGGTAAAGCCGCCGCCTGCAGTGCCGGAATCCCAAATGAGAGCCGGTTCGAGTCCCGGCTGCTCCACTTCCAAGCCAGCTCTCTGCTATAGCCTGGGAAAGCAGTAGAAGATGGCCCAACTCTTTGGGCCCCTGCACCCGCGTGGAAGACCCGTAGGAAGCTCCTGGCCTCAGATCAGCGCAGCTCTGGTCATTGCAGCCAACTGGAGAGTGAACCAGTGGACAGAAGACCTCTCTCTCTCTGCCTCTCCTTCTCTATGTAACTTTCAAGTAAAATAAACAAATTTTAAAAAAAAGTTATCAGCACACAATAAGAAAACCATTACATTAAATCAAAGAAGCCAGACACAAACTGTCATATATGATACATGATTCCATTTACATGAGACATCCAGGTTAGGTAAAGCCAGAGAGAGACAGCACACTGGTGGCTGTCAAGCAAGGTCTGGGGAAGGTGGAATGTAGAGTTACTATTCAACAGGTACCAGGTTGCCTTTGGAGTGATGGAAATATCTGGAACTAGACAGAAGTGATGGCTGCACAATGCAGTGAGTATACAAAGAGCCACTGAATTACTGACGTGAAAACAGTTAATTTTGTGTCTTGCAAATTCCACCTCGATTAAAAAAAAAAGTCGAGTAAGATACAAGGCCTTTCCCTAAAGTCTAACTCTTCTGGAAAAGCAGATATTAAACGACTGAAGAATTTCTGGAATAGCTTAACACTTTGGATTGAATATTTTCAACAGAGATTACTAGACCCCCAAAGAAATTTTTTTTGCAAAGGCAATACTGCCACATGTATGCAAAACTGATGTAAAGGTATCTTGAATACAGGATTAACCGAATGAGTTCCAGTATACATGGCCAATCAACTACTATCCAGCTATTAAAAATACAATCCACGTTTACTGATAATACATCTCAGAGCTATGCGTAGCATAAGCATATGAAAAGTTGCTCAACACTGTAAGTCTTCAGAGACCAAATCAAAATCATAGCATTGCAACATTTCAATACCTACTAGGACGGCCAAAACAAAAAACTGAAAATAACAAGTATTGGTGAATACATGGAGAAACGGAAACCCTCACACACTGCCAGCCGGAATGTTGCAGCCACTTCGGGAAAGTCTAGTGTTCCTCCAACAGTTAAGACATGTTTATCATAGGACCTAGAGTCCCTTCCTAGGGCGATATTTAAGACAGATGCAATCAAGTCCATAAAAGAAAATCCTGCACACAAATGTTCCCAGAATCGTTATTTAAGAAAATGTGCTAAAGCCATACCATGGACTATTATTCAGGTATAAAACGAAATAAGGTCAAGATACAGACTGCATGGGGTGGGCGCGGTGGCACGGTGGGTTAGGCCAGGGCTTGCACACCGGCATCGACTCCCACCGCCTCTTCCAGCTAGCGAATACCCTGGGGGGCGGTGGGCCCCTGCCACCACTCACGGGGCAGACGCGGCTGCAGCTCCCGGCTGCCCCCGGCCCGGCCCCGGCCACGGCAGGCACCCGGGGCGTGACCCCCGCGCAGGGGAGCGCGCGATCTGCTTCGCAAATACACTGCAGGAAGCCCCTGCAGGCCACATTTCGGGCGGGATGAGGACGACGTTCTTTTACTGGGTCAGAACGTGCGTCCCTGCACTCACAGTGCACCTGCAGGGGAACGACGCCCCGGCCCTAACCGGGGTCCCCGGACCGCCTCAGGGAGGCCGCCCCGCCCCCCCACCCGGACCCTGCGCCCCGACTCCGCTCAGCCGCACGCGAGCAGCCCGGCCCGCCCAGGACAGCGCGCTGGTCTCCACAGCCTCCGCGCCGCGGCCATCACCGGACCCCGCGGCGACCCCGAGGGCTGACCCCGTCCCCGGCCCCCCGCGCCCCCTGCCGCCCCCAGTGAGACGCGGCCACAGACCCGCTCTCCGCGACCGCCGGAGCCCCCCACGCGCTGCGCTCAGGCCCTCGGGCGCCCTCCTCAGCGTCCGCGCCGGCTACGGCGGCCGACGAGGGTGGCGAGCGCGCGCGCCGGGCGCCGACACCCGGACTTCCGGCTCTGCTGAGGGCGGCGGCGAGGGGTGAGGCGGCGCGGGACCGAGCGGAGGGTCGGAGGCCGGAGCTCGCGAGGCGCTGGGGCGAGGGAGCGGCTGAGCCGCCTGAGAAGCCGCGTCCCCGCTCCCGCGGCCGGGCAGGCGTCTGCCTGCGGGAGGAGGGCGCCGGGGCGGGCTGGCGGAGACGCCGTCCAGGGAGGTGACGGGCGGCGGGGGGCCCGGCTCACCGATCGGGGAGAGGACAGTCTCACAGCGCAGAGGGGGCTCCCGAGGCAGGCGGAGCTGCAGGGCTCCCGTCCCGGCAGGCGCGGGGCCGCTAGCAGGAAGGCGCCTCCTGGGCACCAAAGGCTGGAGGTGGCGTAAGGAAGAAGTAAACCAACAGCGGGGGGAGTGAGGAGCGAGGAAAGCAACCAGCGTACCCCGTGGTGAACTGTGAAGTAAATGCACACAGTCGTCGTGTGAATTCTGAACTTGACCCACAGTAAAAATACAGCTCTACTGGAAAAGTGAGGACGTTCGTGGGTGCGGTGCAGTGTTTGTAAGAGAGTCGTTTTCTTCTTTTTTAAATTAAGGTTCTTGACGAATGTTTTGCAGACTTTCTGTTTTTTTGTTTGTTTGTTTTTTAATTAATTTATTTGAAAGAGTGACGCAGAGAGAGAGAGATCTTCCATCTGCTGGTTCACTCCCCAGTTGGCTGCAACAGCTGGGGCTGAGCTGATCCGGAAGCCAGGAGCCAGGAGCTGCTTTTGTAATAAATACAGTGCAAAAAAAGTTACATGGAAGGCATTCGAATGACTTACTATAAGGAAAAATGATTATAAGAAATTCCTATGAGGCCAGTGCTGTGGTGTAGTGAGTTAAGCCACCGCCTGTGACCTGGCATCCCAGCTGCTCCACTTCTGATCCCACTCCCTGCTAATGTGCCTGGGAAAGCTGCAGATGGCCCAAGTGCTTGGGCTCCTGCATCCACGTGGGAGAACCAGAAGAAGCTCCTGGCTCCTGGCTTCAGCCTGGCCCAGCTCCAGCTGTTGAAGTGATCTGGAGAGTGAACCAGCGGATAGAAAATCAATCACTCTCTCTCTCCCTGTAACTCTGATTTTCAAATAATTACATAAATAATTTTTTTTAAAAAAAAGAAATTCTTATGTATCATCACAGTGTTAGACTGATTAGGAATATTCTCTAACAGGACTCATTGTTGTTTAAGGATATGGTTGTGTTTTTACTTGGGAGGAGTGGCAGCTACTGAACCCTGTAGTCCAGGAGAATTGGTGGATATTGCAAAGTTATAATAATCTAGTATCAGTGGGAAGAAAATATTCCCTGGGTAATTTAAGCAATCCATTGCCTTTCCTTTGTCAGGGATAAAAGGCTTAGGACTTCACCAGAGATCTGGTTAGTCTTAAGTTTTATTTTTTAAAAATACTTGTTTTCATCTTTTTGAAAGGCAGAATGAGAGAGAGACACACACACACATACAGATGGAGAGAGTGCGAGAGAAGGAGAGAGAGATAGGAATTGATCTTTCATCTCCTGGCTCACTCCTTAAATGCCCACAAGAGTCATGGATGGGTCAGACAGAAAAATCCCAGAACTCTATCCAAGTTTCCCATGTGGGTGGCAGGGACACAAACACTTGAGCCATGATCTGCTGCCTCTTAGGGGTACGTTGGATCAGAAGCCATGTAGCCAGGGTGTGAACTGGTACTCCAGTCTGGGAGATGGGCATCCTAACTACCACAACACCCACCTGTTGACTCCTACCCCTAGGCTTAAGGTTTGTACATCATAGATTCTCGATATCTTTTACCTCTTACAAAGTGTTATTCTCTCACTTCCAACAGTAAAAGATCTTTACTTGGTTATGGTGTAAGTTATGTAACCCTTTAAATGTAATCCTTGGGGGCCGGCACTGTGGTATAGCAGGTAAAGCTGCCACCTGCAGTGCCAGAATCCCATATGGGCACCAGTTCGAGTCCTGGCTGCTCCAGTTCTGATCCAGCTCCCTGTTATGGCCTGGGAAAACAGTAGAAGATGGCCCAAGTCCTTGGCCCCTGCACCCATATGGGAGACCCGGAAGAGGCTCCTGGCTTCAGATCAGCTCAGCTCTGACTGTTGCAGTCATTTGGGGAGTGAACCAGCAAATAGAAGACCTCTCTCTCCCTCTCTCTGCCTCTGCCTCTCTGTGACTCTTTCAAATAAATAAATTAAATAAGTAAATGTAATCCTTGCCATTTTTCAGAGGATCCATGTGTCCTGTGTAAGTTTCCTTGAAATAGGATATCAAGTAGCCAAAACAGATGAATTCTTCCAGTTGGAGCAAGGAAAACCATAGGTAGTAGAGGAAGAACTCTGGAGTCAGATTCATCTAGATTAGTGAAAAGCCAGCCCTGTGCCATGATATCCCAGCTGGTAAGAAACAGGGAGGCATCTCTGAATGTTTGGAGAAATCTTAGTTTTGAATATGACTCCAAAACAGCTGACATGAACGTACCATATACCTTAATATTGGCTCC